TATCTTTATCTGTATCTGAGTGTGTAAGAGTTGTGGTTTTGTTTGGCAGTTACTAATCGCGCGTCTAGAAATTTATGTGGGGCGCCAGACGTCGGGATCTTCCATGAGTGTGATATGCTGATCGCCGCCCATCTGCATCTGCCCGCCCGCCTGACTGCCGGCCATCTGTGTGGGCGATGTGGCAGCGGCGGCCATGTCCTCCCGAGAAGCTCTACGTATTAGTTTATATTTATTAAAGCGTTTTCACAGTGGCAAGCACATCGTGGGAGTATAGAGAAAACATTTGGTTTTGATTAGCAAAAATGGCTTAGCATAGCTAACTAAAATCGCTCACCCTCCGTTTGCTTAGCAACTAATCGAATCCCCCCAAACACTATGAATAAAATCGCCTTTAAATTTGCAAAATCGCCATAAGTAGATGTAAAAATTAATTAAGTCTATATGGATTCGCAACTCTTAATTTGGGTATAAGAAGTTTTTTTTTAATTCTTGATGTTCCGAGATAGTTTACTTTAAAAAAAAATAAAAGCTATCGGCAAAGATTACCCTCTTAAGCTTGAATCAAAATTGCACACAGAATTAGCATATTTTTCTGAATTAAAATTTTTTTTTTTCGGTTTCAAGATTGTTTGAAATATTTGGTAGACGGAGCTACCAATAAAAATATGAAACATAAATATATTTATTCGTTTTGAACTATTAAAACTTTGAAACATCGAAATATATGACTGTAGCTTTTTAAGCAGCCAAACGGACTTTAAATTATATAAACTTTGGCTCAGATTTTCTAAATTTTAGGGCGAATTTTATTGAAGTGACTAGCAGCTCCATACTCACTTCTTGCCTAACGCCATCATTCCGTAGACGACGCCAGTGCCCATGATCAGGCCACTGCCAAATAAGCTGGCCAGTCCAAAGCACAAGATAATGGGCGGAATGGCCATGCTAAAATTTAAATTGTAAACAATATTAAATAGTGTTATCTATGGATACTGCATGAATACTCACGCAATGTAGAGACCAGCCCGGAAATACAAGGGCTTGGAGTCCACCTTGTCGGCGATCATGTTCACCTGCTCAAAGCAGACGAAACAGCAGGGCGCCTCAAGAAGCATTACTATAAATCCTGCCACCATTTGTATGATGCCCGCCACCAAGCAGGAAACGCTGAGTGTGATAATGGAGAACACATTCCACAGGCCGAAGAGTATGGCAACTGGAAGAAAGAGTTTAAAAAATAGGGCGAATTAGCAGCAATTCGAATTATAGATTCGTAGGTAAACTATTGGTTATCACTTTTTTTAAACACTTTTTTTAAACAAGAAAATAGTGAGCATCTATATTAATTGCATTATTTAAAATTGTGTTTTCTTAGGCAATAAAATTATAACAAACAAAAAGAAATTGAAATTTAATTCTTTTTAGTTCCTTATAAAGTTAGTTCCTATTAAAGTATGTTGAATAGTTCGACTGGTATTTCTCATTTAAATTAAACCTCTTTAACTTATTTTTAACTTTTTATAAATCCTAAAAACTAATGTGTCAGTGTTTTATAAAATTATTAGAAAAGGGCGTTTTTCTTATTTTTAAGAACTGACCCAGGGGACTGTCCAAAAAAATCACATATTTATACTCCCTCAAGACCCATTATCGCATCGAAACGCTCCATACACAATCTAATCTAGACCGCTGACTCATATGTGTGCCAATTTTTAACGTTTTTCGCTTTTATTTATAAATTAACCACAATAGCCAGCCACAGAAGCGTGACAGCAAGCTACAAAAACAGTTGGGCATATTGTTACTAGAATTTTATGAAAAGAATGCTCTAAATTCAACTTGATAGCGCTGGGGGCGTACAAGCAAATTACATTAAAATATTATATCAGCTGCATTTGACTATGATAAAAGCATAAGCAAAAGGGTAAACAACAAAGACGGCTTTACTCTTAGATAAATAATTGTCTGAGCGTGATAATTGGAAACAAGTGGGTAGAGAAAATGTTACGAAAGATCACGAGTAAAAGCTTATTTAGTGTAGTTTCAGAACTTTAAATTTAAACTTAAACATTTTCCTATCCGTGTCACTTTTAAGTTTCTTGGTTTTGAGTTTGCAGGTTTTATTTTCCCTTTTGCGAAATCCGATCTGGGTTTTGAGGTTATCGCGGTTCATAAAGCCAGCCAAACTGACCCAACTTGGGGAAGAAGTCGTTGTGCTCTGCGGACCGGCTAAATTTATTAATCATAGACTTTTGGTTTTATTTTACTTAAACACAACCGGTTTCACTGTGGAAGTCGCACGAGTGAGTTTTGCTCCCTTAATTGAGGTATACAACTATTTATATTGATTTTAAGTGGATAGTGTTCATTTGTTGGGCAACAATTGCTTGATAGAAATTTCTCCATTTCCCTAAGTAAGAAAGAATCGTCGCCAGGAAATGCAACAACAAAAGATTCGAATGTAAAGAAACAAGGAAAATCGTTTAGGAAAAAAGTTAAATTCGTTGAAAAAAAGTTGTAGACCCTTTAAATAAAATCGTAACCAAACGAATATTAATTATTTATTAAAAAATAAAATGTCGTTTAATAAGGTAAAACTATTGTTATATTTATATAAGCATACATGTCTATACAGCTGTAGTCATGAAAATAGTAGTTTTTAGCTTATGGAAATAGTAATTAAAAAATGTTTTGAAGCTCACACTATAAATAAAATCAACATGGATCATAGGTATAACGATTAAAATATTAAAAAAAAATATTTGTACTAAACATTTTTTTTAATTTTAATTATTATTATAGTCATGTTAAATATGTTCTTAAGCAATACTATATTCAAATATAGCAGCTCTATATTCAAATACAATACAAATTTATTAAAATGTTCAATATTCAACTTCCGGAACTTGCGAAGTTGTTATTCCAAGAAATCAGATAAACTCGTAAACAGCGACAGTGCTCTGATAAAATTTTCTTACCAGTGCACCGTTTCTATAGCATTTTAAATATTTTTTTATAGCTCTGTTCAAAATAATATTGTACATTAACATGAACAAAAATGTGAATGGATTTTATATATAAACCATATTTCTAACCAATTCTTACACATTTAAACTTTCTTATTCTAACTTCATATATGTAAGTTCGTTGAACTATTTTTTTTGTTCGCAATTTCCCAGTCTTAATGAATATGATCTGACAGTTTTGATTTTATTAAAATTCGTCATTTTGCGATCTTATGGTTATGACACGTGGGGAAACCTAAGGGTTAAGGTTAAATGGGTACAAATAACAAATCAGGCGAAACAAAATTAAAAACAAAGAGGTCGACAAAGAAACGAGGGATGCTGATAAAACAAAAGGCAATGCGAATTACGAGCAAATGGCCACAGAGAATTCCATTTGACATGCAAAAAAAAAAACAGTGCGCCAAACTTGACACAGAAAAGTTCCTTTACACATATGCCATATCCTGTACACAGAAATAAAAGAGATGTTTGTTTTTTAAATTGTTATGCGCAAGACCAATGGTAATTAAATTTTCTATTGCTTACGCAAAATGGTCCCAGCCCTGATCCAAGATGTGTAATGTTTTCTCGGCAAGAAAATGATTATTTTTACTAGATATAAAATTTTTTACACAACATATTAAAATAAATATAAAATATTGTATATATTATGATTTTTTCCTATTATGTGAAATGGTACAATTTTTCACATGCAATAAACATATTTTCTGTGTACGAATTTGTGTATCCTTTTGTGTTGTCTTTTCCGTGTATCCTCTTTCCTATCTTACTCTCTTCCTCTCTCTCTTTTCCTTTATCAATGTCAGAGAGCGTGCGTACACACACACACGAACACAAAAAGAATTCTACACCTACACCTACGAATAGATAACAGCAAAAACAATGGTTGGTACACAAAAATCGATGCAACATATTTTTGGGCCGCCCAATGTCACGGCTGAAGTTTTTGTTGGTCTTAAAGGGTTATACATATTTGAAGAGGGTATTTATTTTAACCTAAATAGGACTTACAGAAGGCGGCCACAATGCCCAGCAGTCGACTGCCATATTTGAGATACCAGGGCTGCTCCGGTCCAATTGGATCTTGTTGATTCGGCCGTGCCAGCAGGCCTGTTATCTTTTCCGCAAACGACTGATCCGGAAAATGGCATAGGGAGCGGAAAACGGAAAAATCGAAATGCAATTAGGAAAAATCGAAGCACAATTTTGCATTGTGACGCGGCGGCCGCTTTTTTAACACGCACACTTTGCCACACAGGCACACACATTCGCATAACGCGCGGCTGACACACACACCCACACACGTCACTGCGTCAGCATTTTAATATATTTTTGTGTCGTATTTGTTAAACGACTACCTACCATGGCTATTTGTTTGTCTAGTTAACTAGGCTTAAACTAATTTGAACAATTATTATGTGCACTTTTCACGTCACACGGAACGAAAAAATCTTGTTGTACTTTGCGTTCTGGTGCACACGAACGAACCAGTTCGCGATTCTCGTCGACGATTGGACCTACCGATAGTCAAGGGTTATCGGTATGAACTGGTTTCTAGTTCTATTTTGTTGATAAAAACAAGCAAAATAAAAAAGTTCAAAAAATTCATTGACCCGGATAATTTAAAACGAAAAATCACAGAATAATTGGTTTTTAAATTGCAAATTTATAATAAAATACAGTTGTATGTTTTACCAATTTCGGGTTCATATTTCCATTCAAAAGACGTTCTTTAAGGAATCACTAGTTAATTTCTAAAACAAAGTCTTTATACAAAAATTACATAGTTATAGCACATTATTTTTATTTTTTTTTTAACGCCGTGGAATTTCTTAGTTTTTAATGTAACTACAGTATAAAAAACTTAATATAGTTGCGAGAAGCAAAATATTTTGAATGAAGAGTGCTGCAAAACGTTTAAAGACGAAATGAGTCGGTTCTTTTGGTTCATGACATATCGATGTTTTGAAATGTTCCTGCCATAACAATCGAAAGAATTTGTTTACATTTTTTGTTAATTTGATTTCTTATCAAAACTTTCAAAGCTATAAGAAAATGTCAGATGAGGAGCTCTGCCAATTGTGCTTGGAACATCAGAGATTTGAGATTGACTTCGTGAAGCCCGTGTTTAATTCAACCACAAAACTACTACTAAAACTCTTCGAGTGCTATAATGTGAGTCCCAGCAGATATTTATCTTCATAAAAAATTACGTTTTGCATTTTTAGATTTTGAACAAGACGAACTTCTTTAGCATTTGCAAGCAATGTTTTAAAAAGGTTTTGTATATATGCGAATCACTCAAAAAATGGGGCAGTGCCCAGGAAAACATCAAGAAAACCAACAGTGCAATACAAAACCTGTTGGGAAAAACTAATACCGTCGATCTAGGGGAAAAACCTTTGCAACCGTACCAACACATCTACTGCGTAGAACCCGATGTATTCGAAATCTCGGATACAGACGATGGCTTGGCGACTCGGGTTAAGTCAGAGTCCCCAGTCGCCGAAAATGACGATGATTTGGAATTTATAGCGGAGGAAACTGTTATCCACGACAAAGGCATCTTATCCCTGGATATAGACGATCAATTTAAGTCAAAGTCCCCAGTTTTCGAAGAGGAATCTACTCAATTACCCCAAAGGACTTTCTGCGTAGAGCCCGAAGTAAATAGCAACTCCATGGATGCAGACGAAGACTTTGCGATCCTGGAAAATTTGGAATCCTCAACTGCAGAAAATAGGGAAAGACATTTGGCAACATATGATAGAGAAGTTCAAGGGAAGGAATCTTTACAACCGCCTCTTCAAAATATAGAATTGTTCCAGATAAAGAGCATTGATTCGCCGGATATGGACGAAGTCTTGGCGGTTCACGTGCAGTTGGAGGCCCGTGCAGAACGAAATGATGAAGAACCCCTGGAACCAGTTGAAACGGAAGAGGCTGAGATATTCTGCGTGGGCCTTCGACAAGATGGCTTGAAATTTGCAGAACTCTTCAAGGATCAATTTAACGTCGTCCAGTTCATGTGCACTTGCTGCGATCATGCATTCGACAGTGTAACACCTGTGCGGGAGCACAATTACGTGGAACGTCTGAATCCTGTTTACATGTGCCACGATTGCGGTGCCTGTTTTTCAATTGCCCCGGAAATAAAGGAGCATCGCGAGAAGGAGAAGCATTGCAACCGCGTTATCAGAGACATGGAATATAGATGTCTAAAGTGCGGCCAGACATTCTTAAACATCAGAGCTGTCAAGTGTCATGAGAAAAACAGACACAGTCCCGAGAAGCTCCATTGCCTGGAGTGCGACCTGTTTTTCCGGATCCGGCCAGATTTCCACCGGCACATGAAGGATATGCATTTGTCCATGACGAGCCGCGTCTGTCGCTATCCAAAATGCAGACGAAAGTTTTGGTCGCAGGAGGAGTACGAGCTGCACCTGAAGTTCCATAAAAATCACCAGAAATACTGCTCTTGCGGTAGTCTAGAAAGGCACATGAGGATACAGCGTCACCGGAAGAAACAGCAGACGGAACGAGAACGGATTAATACCCAGAAGCAGGAAGCAGTTGGAGACTTTATCATTCATCACCTCTCTGAAGAATCCTAAATGTAGGCAGACGAATAAAGCGAAGTAGGCAAATAATCGTTGGGTTTTACATGATTTTTCTTCAAATTTTTTTTTTTTACTGAAATTTTTAATATTTTGAGGTTGTTGTGTATAATTTTGAATTCAATTCATTTCTCAAATAGGTATTTCAAATTTTTTGTTTTAAAGATACTGATATTAAAAAATGTATCGTGGTAAACGATTTATATCGAATCTAAAACTACAAAATTTAAAGTATCGATAGAAAAAAGTTGTATCGATGCTTATGCGGTGCTGCATTTGCAGGATATCGATAGTGCGATGTACTCCGAGCCTCATCGATAGTATCGATATAAACATTGATTATTTTTCAGCTCCAGTTTCTTCATCGGATACTTTGACAAAATATCAAAAATAATTGTAAAGTTCGTGAAAAATGCCGAATGAAGAGATCTGCAGATTATGCAAGACGAGTACAGGTCGGTTTGATCTCGAGAAGCCCAAGTTCAAGTCGACCAACAAACTGCTGCAAACACTCTTTGAGTGCTACAATATTAATGTAAGTTTGGTAAAATTCTTTAAGAGATTAAGGATATACATATATTTTATTATCGATCCTTAGATCGCCTGCCTGGAAGAAAGTTCGTGCATTTGTCGAACCTGTTTTGGGGAGGTACAGCGCTTAGGCGAATCTCTAGAGAAATGGAGCAAAGCCCAGGAAGAAATTCAGGAAAAGCCCCTCGAAATAGACGACTCCCATGTGTTTCAGGTTAAATTGGAGGCTCCGTCCTCGGAGGATGAGGAGGAAACAGTCGAAAACAATTATATAGAAGTGCCAGAGGAGGAGAAGGAGGAGGAGGAAGAGGAGGTTGATGATCAATCAGACCAACACGAGGTCAAGTTGGAGGTTCAGTCCGCGGAGGATGAGGAGGAATCCTCTGAAGAAGAACAACAAGACGATGATCAGGAATTGGCGGAGGAGGATCCTTTGGATCCCTCTGACAGGGACATCTTTTGCGTGGGATTGGCACGCGATGGTTTGGCCATTACGAAGATATTCAAGGACAAGACCAAGGCGACCCGCATGCTCTGCACCTGTTGCGACCAGGACCTCGAGATCCTGGCCCACATCCGGATGCACAGTGGTATTGCCCGTCCAAATCCGGACTACTATTGCCGCGATTGTGCCGCCGAATTCGTCACTCTTCGCGAATTACGTTCACACGTGGAGACAATGGGTCACCACAAGACCAAATGCGGCGGCAGGGATCTGGAATTCCTGTGCCTCAGGTGCAACGAGATTTTCCCACGATTCTTCGATGCAATGCGCCACGAGAACAGCGTCCACACGCTGACAGAGTTGATTTGTGTGGAGTGCAACATGTACTTCAAGTACCGTGGATCCTACGAAAAGCATTTGCGGCAACACAATAGCACTTCCGATGAACCGCAGATCTTTGCCTGCTGCTATGCCGACTGCAATCGAAAATTCCGCGTCTTTTCGCGATATTTAAAGCACGTTCAGTGGCACAACGGCCGGAGTCACCAGTGTCCCCATGCGGGATGTGGTAAGGCGATAGAGCCCGGCAACTACTTGAAGCACATTCGCTCGCACTTACGGCCACCGCAACGCGCACTTCACGGTAATTTTGTGACCTTAGATCCGAAGCATCGGGTGAGACCGGACGCCCGCAAGGTGCCATACGACAGACGACCATACCACGATGCTCGCCGCTCCCCGGATGTCTTCCATCCCATTTTCTCCGACGGCGGACAGTTCATCAGCCTGCCCAAACAGCTAACCTTGCAGAACGGCAAATTCCTAGATGTCAGTAAATAGTCAATATAACGAGCGCATTTGCAAAAGCAAGTAAGCTATTGCAGAAAAAATTATTATATTAAATGGCAAATAGTTTACTAAATATTTTCTATATTTTTAAATTTAAAGTTCAACACTCAGAAGAATATAAATTTGAAAATATTTGTTAGCACAGTGAAATCAAGTGCAATGTGAAATCTGATATATCCCACAAAACTACTGTAATAAAACTAAAGTCGATATCGAAAAAAATATATATATCAATGACATCTATGTTTAACTTTTTCTATATTTAGTAATGGTTTATTATTTTGGAATTACGACTATATCATACAGCTACCATGAGAACAATCGGATTAAAACAAAAAATTAAAATAAAAATTGAAACTTCTTTAGTTTTCAATTTTTTTGTTAAATTCTTTTGGACTTAGGAATGGTTTAATAATTCAAAATTAAGCTTTTAACTTTATTAAAATCGAAACACGACATCATATAGCTCCGATAGGATCGAATAATTGAAGTAAAAATCATCATGGCTTCAATGGTTTTTAATTTATATGTTTAATTTTTGGTTTTGCAAAGGGTATATAAACTTCGGCTTGTCGAAGCTGGCTTTCTTTAATTCCAAAATTGTAAACGAATAAAAGAACACATAAATCCTTCGGAGAAAAAATTTGATTGAGTGCATCCGGGCTATAGAATAAATAAAATCCGTGTTTACCCACCTTAGAATCTAGATACCAAAAAAGTAAAAACTGTATCCCCATAACATAAATGAGAAATGATTTTTTAAAACTTGGTACATCGATTTATTGCCGGAATTTTGGGGGAAAAATATTGGAAATATATTGCCACAAATTAGTTATTTGATAATCTTTTTACTTTACAATTGTTCTTGATTGGAGAGTTAACTTTGTTTTTCGTATTTGGTTGTTTTGGCATTAAATTCTACAACATTTTATTTTTGATATCGTATGGTTTTAAAGGAGGTGCTCACACAAGAATAGAATCACTCAATCTAATAATTTTCAATATTCGATTGTTTCGGTCGAATTTCAATTTGTTTCCATATTCTTTTCAGGAAATCTATTCTAGTGTACTCACGACCTATGTTTTTGTAGTTTTTGTTTTGGACGTGTTTACAGATTTGTTTTTCGATATTTTTTTTGTTTTGGATACAATGGTTAAAATGCATAGCAAATTTAGCTTGGAGCGAGTATTTGGATCACTCGGATCGTTGGGCGGCGCAGACTTTCATGTGTTGGCAAGATTTTAATATATCAAGTCCTCACGCATCCAACGTTCACTTAAATTAACTTAATGTTGTCGGTTGTTGTTCCAGGAGCCCTTTACTTAAGTTAATTATTGCTATGTCTATGGGTTTTCACAAAAAGAAAAAAAAATGAAAGTAAACTATAAAAGTGTTTTCGGAACGGGTGGAATTTAAACAAGATTGTAATTCTTTAATTGAGAATTCATTTTGATACAATTTAGATTTTAATTGAAATGTTTCACTTTGCTTTTGTGTTTGATTCTTTTTTTTACAACAGAATTTTACAGTATTTAATTCTTGGGTTTCTTGTAGTTTTCAAGCTGAGTAAACAATGTTGTTCTTGTGTGTAATTTGATATTCATTGCTTGCTTGATAAGTTTGATGTTTGTTTGTTGCTTGGCCCAGACAAATGTCCAAAGAAATTAAGTTTAATTTTTGATTTAAGAAAGAAAGGAAGGAATTTAACGCTTCAAAATAAGTCCAAAGTAATCACAATTTCATTGGCCATTTGTCTAAGGCGACTGGAAACAGATTTAGCTATGTTTCCAAAAAATAAAAAGTTAAACTATACGCTTTTTAGTAAAAAATGAAATATAATAAAAATCAAAATTAAAAGAGAAATGTTTTAAACAAATTTGCAGCTCAATGTGTTAACATATAAAATACAAATTAATATGGCTTTTCAAAAAGCTTTAAAAGTCAATGGTAAAAGATTTAAAGCAAATGCAAATTTCTTTCTGTTTTTTGGTTGTTAAGATTAAAGAAGTAGTACCGAATTGTATGCAAAAGACCGAATTACAGGGAACTTCTTTTGATTTTCGGTGCTGCAAACTTATAGACTCTGAGATTACGACTTTGGAGACATTGCAGATCATTGCTTAGTCTAAAGATATACGCTAAATAGGCAACTGTTTCACACATTGGAGACTACGCTTGATGGGAAATAAGTTAACATGTCGCGACATGCTTACGAATTATAGGAAACTTGGTTTGGTAGAAAACCTTAACGAACTCTACGCGTAGTTATCAAAAGACTTAACATTTCTTAAAAGGCTTCACTCCCTCTTCTTACGCACTAGTGGCTCACAAAAATATACTCCTCTGCTGGTTTTCGTAAAATTACAAATCGCTCAAATACTTTTACCTTAGTTCGTGTATATCATACAAATTTGTATCATGATTGAACCCGTTTTAAGCATTCAATTGTAAACTAATTTAAATTCGTTAAATACATTTGTTTTCTCATTTTCTCATTGCTAGCTTCGCATTCGCATTCCCAAGTTGTCAAAAAAGCATTGACGAAACATTTTCTGCTGAGATATGCCTGATATTGCCCCTGATTGTGGGAAAGTGGGAATTAATTTTGAACGGTTTGTGTGCGGGACAATTTTGGATTGATTAAAATGGTATTGCAGTTCCCTTATAAAAGTTGTTTGTATTTGCCAGCCGTTTGTTAAGATCACAATTGTGCTAAGAAATACTATATCACAATTTAATTATTTACATTGTTATTATTTGTATTTTTCCTTACACATCTCTCTCGTAGGTGGGGGCGGGCAGTAAGTAGTACGGCCCAGAAATATTATTTGTTTATCATCTCATACTCGCCGCCCCGCAGAAGCGTTTTGTTGCCCTTGCAAAGAGTCAACAGTGGACTTTAGAAATTAACGCAAAACGATCTGTACTCGGGGCGTGTTAAAGCTACGCTTTAGTTAGATTAGATTTAGTTTGTTGCTTTTCTCTAAAAATACGTTCAAACGGCGAGCATTCGGCTCGAAGTAGGCTTGGTTCACTTGGCTCACAATAGACACTTTTTAGCTTATACAGGAAGGATTCTAACATAATTATACTCAATCTGTTTGTTCTCACTTGGATCTTAAAGTCGAACAGCGATTGTAGTGTTTTTACAAAATATTACTTTACATGTGCTGAGCGGAAGACTCTCGTTTTTTGATTTTTCTTCTTTTTTTTTTTTTTTGGTATGAAAATTTGTATTACAAATGACTTATGCACTTGATCGCATTCAGTTTTTGAGTTCGAGTGTGCTCGCAGTTCCCTAATGTAGAATATGTATGGAAAAGTTAAATCTCCAGTTTAGAGATCGGGAAACTTTACTTTGATACATAGTCTCCAAAGCCTAGGACTAGACATGATTAGTTGTCTATAGTGTTGGTAGTTTTAGTGTTAGTTTTATAACAAATGAACTTGTTAAATGCAATTGGCATGCTTTCATTTACTAGCAAGTCTCCAAAGTTTCTGTTCTCCAACTCCACAGAGCCTTCAAAACTATTCGTTGTTCCCGGTAATCTGGTCTTTTGCTGGGAAATGCACAAGTTGAGAATTTTAAAAGGAAGTTGTTGGCTCAAAAGTAAAAGTTTAGCAAAACACGTTTGCTATAAAGTTCTTGGTGAAAGAGAAATTCGTCCACGAATTAAAATTGGGCGTAAAGTCAACGCCCAGCTGCTGCTGCTGCTGTTGCTGTTGAATTTGCAATTGGTGTTGCTGCAACTGCTGTTGATGTTGTTGATGTTGTTGCGGCGGTTGCTGCGATTGTGCTCGCTTTAGAATCCTCAAATTCGTGCCCGAGGCCATGCGCTGCAGCTTGTGTATGTCCTGGGCATCCGGAGCAGTTGGTGTTACTCCTGCGGCACTGGCTGCCCCAAAGTTCAGCGACACCGAAGCTGGTCGTGGTCGTTGTTGTTGCTGCTGCTGTTGTTGTTGTTGCTGCTCGTTCTTTGGTGTCTTTTGAGCTGCCGCCGCCGCCGATAGCATGGCTATCAAATCCATGCCCGTTGTGGGCTGTTGTTGTCCCAGGATCTTGACTGGTTGCTGTGGACTGCACTGCTTGTCACTCTGGGACTTGGTGCGCAATCGCTGCTGTTGCTGCTGCTGTTGTTGCTGTTGTTGTTGTTGTTGTTGCTTCTGCGCCTTAGCCGCCTTAAGTTGTTGCTGCTTCTCCTTGCGTATTAAATCAAAGGAGCTGACAATCTGCTGAATAATAGTTATGGTTTTAAATTGGGTAACTACCTAAAATAATCGGCTGAACTCACCTTTTCATTGCTTGCCGACTGCTGTGCATCGTTCTGACTTTGGCTATGGAACAGTTGACGCTTGGAGGATATTGTGCCGCCTCCGATGGCTCCGTTTGACGTCACTGCCTTTGCTGCTGCTGCTGCTGCTAGTGGCGTTGTTTGATTGCTGCCTGCAGCCACATTTTGTTTATTGCGTTTCCCATTGCTATTGCAGATGTTCATCGAGTTGATGGCGCTGGTGGCGGAGGCGGGCGCTCCTAATACCGCTCCCGGTCCAGTGGCCACCTTGCCATTGAGATTATTCAACTTGACACCATCCAAATCACCCATGGACTTGTGTCGTTGGCGTCGCATTTCGTTGCGCACTCCGGCAGCGTCCTTTTTGCAACTGCCGTTTAGGTTTGTGGGCGAGGTCGCTTTGGGGGACTGCTGGCCGGAGCACTTTCGGCGACGCGGCTCGATTCCCGCCTTCCGCTCGTTCACCCACTTCTTCAGGCGCTTCACAAACGGCATGATCATGAAGAAGGAGTTGGAGGTCTTGCCCAACTTGGCCTTCGATATGGCATCGTTCTTGTTCACCGGCAGCGAATCGATGCGGAACCAGTCGCAGCACTTGATCTCGTTGCGGGTGCGGGGCGCAAACGACGTGTCCAGCGGTACGTTGCGCACCACGTACAGTCGCGTGTACTGATAGTTGATGAAAGCCTCGATATAGTCGTTGGCATCGATGAGATCCGTGATGTCGAACCCGGTCTCCTCATAAACCTGAAGGCGTACAACAGAAAACATTTCATTATAAGATCTCAAATACATTAAGCATTCCTTTCTGGACGAAAATATGAAATCGGAGTGCTACTAAGTAAATAACTATTTTTAAAAATGTTAAGAAAGGAATTCATTTGCGATAAAATGTATATGTGCTTCAAGCAATTTGAACTAACTTGTGCCAACAGCTTTATGCCTCAATTTTGAATACTAAATTTATCTTAATAGGTAAGCATATTTTTTATCGATATTAATCGGTTTTCTTCTCAAGAAGTAATCAAAAAAATTGTTTGCAAATCACTTCGTGTAGTAAATGAAAAACTATTGCACGTGTCTTGAATAAAAAAGGGAGATAAATTATTAAAAACGATTTTAGTTTTAACATATTTTAAACAGAAATTTTCATAGCCTAAAATTTTAATATTTTTAAAATCATGCGACTCAAAATTGAACGATAAAACTTTGTAACCCAAAAAAAGGGGTTAAGAGATGATCGCAACACAGAGAAAAGATCGAAGATTATTAATCCACACATTATATTAAGCAATTTTGCAGGTCGACTTGCCTCTCTCGTGGCACAATGGGCTGGATCCTCGTTCTCATTGATCTTGCCCTTGGGAAATCCCCAGGAGTTGCGTGCAAAGTAGGACTGCACTAGCAAGCAATGGTTGTGATCCTCGGACACGAGAATAGCTCCGTATGTGGGCACTGACAGCTTGTAGTTCTTCCACTCGTCCAGAATTTGATCCACGGTGCCAAAATGTTTGTTCAGGAAGGGAATGTGCTGGCGGTTAAAAAACACATAAATTACAAATTGTCTTTGAAAAGAATAGCAATATATCTATAGCTTACTTGGAACAACTGCATTGCGAATTGCTTAATGCCCACCGTCGGTAGCTTCCGTTGGATACACTTTTGGGTCTCGCCATCCTCGCCAGTTTCGGGGGCACAAAAGAAATCCAAATAGAACCAGTGGGCGAGCTCGATTTGGAAACACATTCGTATTAGATTATTCAGCTCCATGTCCGGTACATTGATTATAAACCGACTGGCCAGATCATCAAGTATATCGGACGGAATTTTCGATTTCTCTGGCAATTTAATGCTGGACGCCTTCGTGGTGTTTGTTCTTGGTGTCGATTTTGCTAGCGTGGCAGATGCTGCCAATGTTGCAGATGCGGCTGCAGCATCTTCCGATGATGAGCTGCCGTAGGAGGAGTTCGTTGATGTCGATGAATTGGTCGATGATATGGATGAGTTGAGGCGTTGCTTCTGTGCGCTGCATTGCTGCTGCTGTTGCCGATGTTGTTGTTGCTGCTGTTGCTGCTGTTGTTGTTGTTGTGCATATTGATGTATCTGCTGCTGCTGCTGCTGCGACTGCTTCCTTCTCTCGATGGCAATGGGCGCTGTGGGCGTGGTAGTTTTGGTGAAAACAGCTCCAGTTTTTAGCAATTGGTTCAATACATCATTCTCGCTCGTAATATCGAGGTTTCGTCGTTGTGGTTGCTGCTGTTTTTGTTGCTCGTGTGGTTTGATATCGCTTTTGTGGCTACGGTTGTTGTTGCTGCTGCTGCTGCTGTGATGGTTGTAGTTATTGATATTTAGCACTTTTTGTAACTTCAACGAAGCTAGCAGCGCCAGATTGTTGACTTAAAATAGAAAAAAAACAAACAATGAAAGATAAGCAAACGACACCAAGAAATTGATAGTGAAAAAATAAAAACACCCTGAGGTAATGGAACTACGGAAAACGCTTATAGATATCATTTTATTTTCGATTCAACTTTAATATGACCCTAAAATGTGTCAAAGGCGTTGAAAATTTCAGTTAATTTTCAACTGACTACAATAAGATTTACATAAAAATTACTCACAAGTACTTAAATTTAAATAAATATTTCTAGAAAGTAAATTTCCTTTAAACAAAATACGTCTGCATTAAAAAAAAATCATTGAGATTTCATTAAGATGTACTTCTTACTACTTAAAAATTATGTCACATCAAATATGGTTTTTTTTGACTGTATCTACTAAAGAAATTTATTTTTACACAAAAAAGTTTCACAACTACATGTAATTAAAAAATAAAAGTTATAGAAAATTTACATTTTTATACTTTATGGTTAACTATTGTGCTAAAAAGTGTTTGCCTTTAAAGGTGAACAACTTGATTTTATAAGCACCAACTGCAAGTGGCTAAAAATAATCATTTTAGACTTGGTTGCCAAGCTGTCTAGGAATTTGAGGCAAATGCTATTGGAGCACCTTGACGAACTGCTGAGTAATCGCAATCGCCTGGCCAATGATCTGCGCTGCAAATTGCGCAACAACAAACAGAGAGACAAAAGGCAGCAACTACCACTAATTTCTACAATTACTATGCTATTGCTATCGTACTCCGTTAGCGTGGCCTCTAAAACACAATTGAAAAAAAAACACACAACGCAGTTCAGCGACCTCTGTTAAAAAGTGTTGCAACATGCACACTCGCTGGTGTGGGTGTTTGGGTGAGTATTTGTGCAGTGTGCACTAAGTACTACAGTCCGACTCAACTAATTGCTCCCAAGCAGGCAAGTCAACATCTCATTTTATTCTTATTTTTAAAGCTGCTTTGATTTCTCACGTTTTTAGTTATATGGTATTTATTTTAAAGAATATAAACTTTTCTGATTGCAAGCAAGACCTGTTGCTTAAATTGCTACTGGCTGAATTATAACTAAGGATCGAACCATTTCCCCCTTAAATGTACAAAACTTATATTTCTAAGCAAACTAATCTCTCAGTTTCAAAGCTATTCTAATGGACTAGATCATATTAAGATCACTCGGAAAAATTAATATACAAAAATTATAACTTAGTCTAAGTTTAATAATTTTATTTGTGTTGTTGTTGGTGGGGTTTGCTAAAATGGTAACAAAGTTGACGGTAGGAAAAGTTGCTGATCTGTTTTTTAATTAATATAAGTATATTTACATTTACTATTACATAACAGTTTCAAATTAATTAAAATCGGGCAACGATCATGTAGCTGCCATAGAAACGTTCAAAAAATTAACCCAAAATTCGATGTTATTAATATGAATATTATGAAAAAAGATATTAAACTGGTTGTAGGTCAGCCTCTCAGTTTAAAAAAAAATTCTACACTGTGAAGTAACTTTTGAGTACAACATTGTTAATCGTTATTGATGTTTTTTAAAGTATTTTTTTTAGTTAATGTGGTTCTATTGGGTTTTAAATTAATGTTTTGATGAAATGGAATATATAAAAATTGATGTAGGTAACTTTGTGACTTTTTACGTCCTAAAAAATGGTACACCCTCCCAGCGCAGACTGTAACCTCTGATTGCTATGGTTTGTTGTGGACCTATTTGGAGTGTCCCGCTCTTATTATCTGGAGCCATGCTTACCGTTATCATTTTCCTTGCTGCTGCCTACGTTGACGTTGGCAGAGGCAGCAGCTGCGGCAGAGGCTGTGACGACAGCAACGGCGTTATTGATCAGTGGTGCAATTTCCATAATATTTCAAATTGACCCACTGTTTGTTTATGTAATACACTTTATTGGATTTTTGTGTTTGTCTTTTTCGCAAAATATTTTTGTTTGTTTGTTAATTCACGTTCGCGTCTCTCTTTCTGTCTCTATTCCTCCCTTTCAATACGCGCGAATGTGTGTGAGGAAGAGAGTGTGTGGGTGTGGGACTAAGTGTGTGTGTGTGTGTAAGCGTTTTGTCACGTATTTTTACAACGGCGTTGTTTTTGTAGTAAATATGGCTGCCAAGTTTCGAAAATTTCTGCAATCGTCCGCTTTTGTCGCACGAATTTAAATTTCCAATGCAATTGCTGTACTTGTACTCTATTTAATGCATCGATTGTATTACATTCTAACGCTTTCGCTATTGTTCTCTCTTTTTTCGCTCTATTTGTGATTTTCTTAACATTTTCTGCATTTGTAGTTGTTGTTGCTGTTATTGCTGCTTGTATTTTTGTTGCTGTGTCGCTGTTGTTGTTCCACTCCATCCACAAAATAATTGAGTGCGCTCCACTTCGGTGCGAGGGAGACGAAAAACTCTTCGAACGCACACTGTCTCACGTTATTGCGTTCTCTTTTCTCGCCCTATTCACGTACTTTCTTTTCCACTTTCCAATATCGAATTAACCGCTGTTTAGGCAATTGTCGCGATCCGTTCTGCATCTATTTACACGTTGCACTTAAATTTAGTTACTATTTTGCACTGTTATGGGCTTTTCAACTTCTGGAAAATTGCTTTCCTTTCTCGTCAGCGTCGCGTATAGAAATAGAGTGACCGCTGCGTACATATACCAGATGCGTTATCAGGAATGTACCAAAAAATACCTTGTTATATTTAAAATATACCGGTTTCTTCTGAAAAAGCCAGGAACCCTATGTACAGTGGACTCTCAAAAGAGACATCACTGCCTTGTAACATTTTAATAAAACAATGAGCTTAAGCAACTATTGGATTATCTTAAAAAATAATTTTTATATCGGGGCTTATACAGTTTTTAACTCATGATCATTGTTATTGCTGGCAAATAATTTTAATTAAATTACGTAAAAGATTGCTGCAAAGTGCAAGCACAAGTTCCTGTGATTGATACCCGTTTTATTTTTCAGATGGAAGGTCAGTTAATTTTTATATATACCCCCATAATCTTTCCTATAAATGTTTAAAGGCAATTTACCGTAAAAAATGCAAAAGGATGTGCACATTAAATTTAATTTAGGGCTTTAAAATAATTGTTTTTATTTATTTCAAAAACCTGATGGTGTTATAAAATAAACTTACGAAATTTTTTGCATTTTCCGAAATTCTCACGTTTTCAAAACGAAAAGAGCTGCCAGATATCCCAGTTTAAGAAGACCGTTTATAATCAAAAATATTTCAGTATTTTTTTCGCAATTCCTGGGTATGTTTTGACCGTACGTAGATGGTCACGTAGAATACCTTCGTACCGTACCAATCGTGTGTTTCGACTTTTTCAGGCCACAAAAAAAGCGAGTTTTTCCTGCTAAAAAGTGCATTTTGGGCAAGGAAAATCTTCGATGTGGTCGCTATAAGCCAGCAGCAAGATTGCATTTTCGAAATTTTCCGCCTGCAGCTGGCCCTGGACGTGCTTTGTATCCGTGGAGAACAGAGACGCAAAGGTTGTGACACCCACATACACCTACATATACATTTACATCTAAACCAACATAGGCCGCGTGTGTGTGTGTGTTTTAAGGTGGTCCAGGTTTCCTCTAACATTTATCTAGTGAAGTACCTGTTGTAACAACAAAAAATCAGAATTAAAAAAATCGCAAGAAACTTTGTTCCTTGAACCTAGAGCGGTACTTTTCTATTTGCTGTTTAATACAAATAAGCTTACACAGCGCATTAAATAAAAGAAGAAACAAAATATTGTTAAAATGGAAAACTTATTAAATTTCTTATTGGTGTTTAATTTTTAAATTGCATAAAATTGTTGTGAATTATATTGCACAGTTTGTTGAAAAATACATTAAGTTCATAATGTTCTTTTTAAAAAGCCCAAATGGCTTTAATAAATAGGAAATTTCTCAAAAAATGTTCCCTAAAATAATAGTTAAATAATTAAATTCAATACATTGATTTGAGTTTAAAGATAAAAAAGTTTATTATTTACTTTAAAAGAGGTCCACCTTAATGTTTGTGGATCCAGAGTTCAAATGTGTGTGCGTGTTACATAGCATGTCTGTGTGTGGGCGGCGCAAAAGTTGGTGGAGGAAAAGGAAAATAAATCAGGAACACTACTTTCAGTGTCTAAATATTATTTTACTAAAATCAAAATGCAACAATAACTTAAGCTACCTTATCCCTAATGGTTACATGTTTATGTGCATTACTAAATAAAAGAAGTAACATTTTCTTCCAAAGTACTCCGCGGTATAAAAAGCACTCGATTACAAATAAAATAAACACGAACTAAAATAATTAAGTACTAAAACAATGCAACGAATAGTCGGTAGAGCAAAGATACAATCAATACAATTTCGAAGTGCGGAATAAAACGACGTCACCACAAATACAAATTAGTATTATTGTGCTCCAGATTACAAAAAATGAATTAACCTGAAATCGAAATTTAAATATTACTTAACGTTAATGCTAGAACATAAAGTCAATAATATTAGGTGCATAGACAACAACAATACTTTTTGTAGGCACAATTTATTGTAGTTTTTCTACGAAATTCCTGAAACTTAAAGAAAAATAAAAATATTGTTATTATTATCCCACAACTTTGTAACTATTCGATGAACTTTAATCACATTTCTTTAACCCATTCTGGCCTCCAATTACCTTTCGTAATAGCTGTTGTAGATTTTATCTATCAAAATATTATTTTAGAATCTACTATATATTTTATACGTTTGACACATAATTTAATGTCCTTTTTGATCCTTGTCATCTGCAGATAGACGCCGTGTGGGGTTGGGTTGCTTCCGGCCCGCTGCGCTTAGCAGCGAACAGAATGGGCGACCAGGCGGGATCCACCGGTAAGTAAAGTAAAAGGACAGAAATGTATCCTTTACCAAATTAGTTTACCTTATTTTTTTGAACATTTTGACTAATGGTTGTGTTTTATTACCGCTTTGTCACTATTAGTTTCCTCGACGGGCGTGGACCGATCCGTCGGATCCACGGGAGTGGGAGTGGACCGATCCGTCGAATCAAAGGTCGTCGACCGACCGCCGTCGCCCGCCCGACTCTCACACACGTCCGAGAAACATCCGAAGGTCACGCTCACGGAACTCAATATGCTGCGCCGCCATCGGGAGCTCTGCGATGTGGTGCTTAACGTGGGTGGGCGCAAGATCTTCGCCCACCGGGTGATCCTGTCCGCCTGCAGCTCCTATTTCTGTGCCATGTTCACCGGAGAGCTGGAGGAATCGCGCCAAACGGAGGTCACCATACGCGACATCGACGAGAACGCCATGGAGCTGCTTATCGACTTTTGTTACACCGCCCACATTATCGTCGAGGAGTCCAATGTCCAGACGCTCCTTCCCGCCGCCTGTCTACTGCAATTGGTGGAGATTCAGGACATTTGCTGCGAGTTCCTCAAGCGACAATTGGACCCCACCAACTGCCTGGGCATTCGCGCCTTTGCCGACACACACTCCTGCCGGGAATTGCTGCGGATAGCCGACAAATTCACACAGCACAACTTCCAGGAGGTAATGGAGAGCGAGGAGTTCCTGCTGCTGCCCGTCGGCCAGCTGGTGGACATCATCTGCAGCGACGAGCTGAATGTGCGTTCCGAGGAGCAGGTCTTCAACGCGGTCATGTCCTGGCTTAAGTACAACGTAGCAGAGAGGCGACAGCACCTGGCACAGGTGAGCTAGTAAAATATAAAACAAATTTTGTATTTTTCCTTAAACTTAAAACTAAAAAAATCACTGGCCTAGATGGTTAAAAGTTCATGGTATTTTCTTAAATATTAATCATTTATCTAATGCAATTAATTTCAAAATATATAAAAAAAATTTGGTGTTTGGACCTCAGTTAAATAGTATATATAAGTGTAAGGAATTTGGTTCTAAATTAGTAATAAACAAAGTCTATCTTCTGTGTTTAAAAAGTTTATATCTCATATTCCTACTTTACTTATATATTTGTATAATATTCCATTAATTCATCTTAATCAAGAGTCAAGTTAAATAATACATTAATAAAAAACACTATTGCTTAATTTTAGGTTCTCCAACACGTCCGTTTGCCTCTACTATCTCCAAAGTTCCTGGTTGGCACGGTCGGCTCCGATCTCCTGGTGCGCAGTGATGAGGCCTGCCGGGATCTGGTGGACGAGGCCAAGAACTATCTGCTGCTGCCGCAAGAGCGACCGCTGATGCAGGGACCACGCACCAGACCACGCAAACCGACACGACGCGGCGAAGTTTTGTTCGCCGTGGGCGGATGGTGTTCTGGCGATGCCATCGCCTCTGTGGAGCGCTTCGATCCGCAGACCAACGACTGGAAAATGGTCGCCCCCATGAGCAAGCGTCGCTGCGGCGTGGGCGTGGCCGTGTTAAATGATCTTCTATATGCCGTGGGCGGTCACGATGGCCAGAGCTATTTGAATAGCATCGAGCGCTATGATCCGCAGACGAATCAATGGTCCTGCGATGTGGCGCCCACCACTTCCTGCCGCACGAGCGTCGGTGTGGCTGTGCTGGACGGATTTCTGTACGCGGTTGGTGGCCAGGATGGCGTGCAGTGCTTGAATCACGTGGAGCGATACGATCCCAAGGAGAACAAATGGTCCAAGGTGGCACCGATGACCACACGACGGCTGGGAGTGGCGGTCGCCGTCCTTGGAGGATTCCTTTACGCAATTGGTGGCTCCGATGGACAGTGCCCGTTGAACACCGTGGAGCGATACGATCCCAGGTAAATAAATGAAACAAATCAAATTAATTCTTTTCGAATATGTTTTTGGATATATTTCGGTTAATAGTAATTTTATTCTAAGTAAATGAAAATCCGATAAATGTTCACAAATTTTTCCAATAAATGAACATTTGTTAACGCTTTTAGAAATACGTTAATTTGATTAAAATAATATATCATATAGCTCCCAAAGAAAATTTCCAAAAATTAACAGGATTTATTTGCAAATAACTCAAGATACATATACGTTAGTAAAGATATAACCCCTAAAAAAATAATTTCAGCTGTAGCTGCGAAAGAAGTCTAAAGTACATAAACTTTTGTAATTTTCAACAAAAAATTTAACAGTAAAAAAATTAAAAAACAAATTATTAATTTCAATAGTTTTTTGCATAAATTTGAACTGATTCTTAAACATAATATTAAATAATATTTTTGTTTTTAATTAACCTTAAAAGGATTGTATCTTTTTTAAATCACAATGAAAATTAAGTTTATTTGAATGTCCCTGCCAGTCCGTCGCTTCTATTTTAAAAATATATATTCCAAAAATAGTTACAGTTGGCACGGTTTCTTTTATAGGTCAACATAGGTTGACTTCGGGCTGCCTGCACTTTGTCTTACTTTCCCAAATGATTTTAAATTCCTGATTTAATTTATTTTATAGGCACAACAAATGGGTGGCTGTCAGCCCGATGTCCACGCGACGCAAGCACCTGGGCTGTGCTGTGTTTAACAATTACATTTACGCCGTCGGCGGGCGGGACGATTGCATGGAGCTCTCGTCCGCCGAGCGCTACAATCCACTGACCAACACCTGGAGCCCCATCGTGGCCATGACCTCGCGGCGCAGTGGGGTGAGTTTGGTGTTGTCTTCTCCTCCTTGCCAAATAAAATATTTAATAAAATCAAATGGTGTCACTTTTAGGTTGGCCTGGCCGTTGTTAATGGGCAACTGTATGCGGTGGGCGGTTTTGATGGTTCCGCCTATCTGAAAACCATCGAGGTGTACGATCCGGAGACGAACCAATGGCGTTTGTGCGGCTGCATGAACTACCGTCGACTGGGCGGCGGCGTGGGCGTAATGCGGGCTCCTCAGACTGAGAACTATATGTGGTGCGAAAACAGTTTTAAGCAGCAAAACTCCTAAAACTAATCCAACCCCTTAGCCCTTCCATTGCTGATGAACTGTTGTTGTCTTGTCTCTTTCTCCCAACCCACGAAACATGCTAACAAATGCAGGATTCGCAAGGATTCTGTTGTCTGATGGGAGCAGCAGCCGACGACGTTGCCCTCGCAAACGTTGCCGCCGCCGCACTTCTACTAACAATATCCACAATCGAAGCCAAATCTAATCGACTTGACACCTTTCCCCCAATTGTCTAGCAGCATAATCGTATTGTATTAATTGTTAATTGTTTATTTGGTAGAGCCTAAAACGCGTGTTGGTTAGACTTTCCCACAATAGTATTAAAGTTAGCATTGCCCCCACTCAAATTCTCATCCCCATCACTCTGTACGTAATTATTAATGATTCTACTGTATCTTAAGCAAGTATATTTTGTAAAAATTCTAAAATTTAATTGTTGCTGGTGGAATTTCATGGAAATCGCTAGCCTCAAAACATTGCCTTCTTTCGAAAAAAAAAAACAAAACAGAATCAAATATTAAATTAGAAAAGAATTCTATTAGTTGTATATCTATAAACCATGAGCTCTAAAGTCAAGTAACTAATTGGTATTAACATAATTTAGCCATAAGAAACGAATTCATTGAAAGTTTGTCCGAAATTAGACATCACAATGGTTCTATATTTCGATCGACCAACTTAAAGCTGTATTAATTGTTTAGTCAAATCCACAATAGTTCTTGCAAATGTCTTCAATAATAATACGAAGCTATCAACTGAAGCAAACAATTCAAAAGTTAATAAGAATGAATGTTCAGGCTTGACAAGCTTAAAAAATTATAAGGATAAACCACACATACAATGAACAAAGTTAGACCTAGCCCAAAACATTTCAATAGTAAAATTAGCAATTACTCAGCCGTAAGATCAACATTAAGCCAATAAATTTTAATATTGTTATCCTTAGATCGTAAGCCGGTGAATTCTTTGAGCCGGAAAGAGGTCACGTTTTAAAAATAATTATTGTTAAACCAAGTTAGACCACTGAGCTGATGAAAACAACTCGAAATATTTGCCTGAGCTCGAAATATTTGCTTAGTGGAGAGAGCCAAAAATAAAACAATGAGTCTCTCAATAACAACTTATTTTTGTTGCCTTTTTACACCAACACATTATTTATTTTCAAAATAATTATTTATTATACGCTTTTGTATCTCATTTTGTTTATTTTATTGTGCACATTTGTCATTATTTTATACACTGTTGTTAAATCGAGCAAATGGAAATTGTCTTTGCTTCCAGATGATAAATAAGAATAGCATTTACAAAACAAAAACCAAGCTTATTTATATTATAGGTTTAGGAAAATGGCGAACACACATTTACATATTCGCATACCACACACTATGCATAATTAAACATTAAAAATATATGGTTATAATTAATAAAAAAAAAGCGTGCTAAACGTAAAAAATAGAAATGTGTTAACGTAAATGGATTGTAAACTCGTGCTAAGTGTAAGGATATATAATAATAAAAATATATCTAAAACGAAAAGAAAATGACTTTATTAAAAAAAAAAAAAATATATAAGAATCAAGGAAATTATAAATTCTTTTTTTTTTTTATTTGGAATGCGCAATTTTTATACCTTGCAGAGGGTATTATAATTTCCGTTACAGGTACTATACAAGTCGGAAGGGCCGGATCAGACGACTATATCATATAGCTCCCATGGAAACAATCGAAAAAAAAAACAAAAAATATATATGCTGTTTTTTAATTTTATTTATTTTTTTTAGTTCTTTGAGAATTATGGTTTAAATTTGATTAAAATCGGACGACTATATTATATAGCTCACATGCGACAAGCAAAGTATCACAAAAATTAAATTTTAAGAATATTGAAAATTCTCTTAAGTTTTTACTTTTGTTTTTATTTACTTTGTTTTTTTTATTTTTAATATCATAATGGTTAAATTATTTATTTTATTAAAATTGGAAAACGATATCATATAGCTTCTATAGGAACAATCGAATATTTTATATATAAATCTTCAAAACTTTATTAAATTATATAAAACTACGCCTTTCAATTTATTCAAATTGGAAAACGATAGCTGCCATAGGAACAATCAAATATTTTAGCTGCAAAAAACATCATAGCTTTATTGTTTTTAAACATATACGCATATAAATAGAAGTTAAAATTTTTTAAAGAATATATTATTTTTGGAATAGCTGCAAGGTTGCTTCCTTTCTTGTTAGAATTAATTTAATTTTAATTAATTTTTCGGGCTTACACAATTAAACCTACAATTTTCTCAAGAAAGGAATATAATTTTGGCTCAAAAAATATAAATCCTGAAAATTTAAGAGGGATTGGGCGTTGTGGCTTTTCAGAAGTTGATCCAAATTGATGAATAAATAACTGTTATTCCAATTATAAACAAAAATAGTTTACTACAATATAGGGCTTAAAAATAAAAGCAGTAACGCCCGATAGTCAGGTGGAAAAACAATCGCTTTCATGTCACATCACCAAGTAATCGATAACTCGCCGCACAGCTGTTTATTCTGGCGCTCTTTCCCATTTTTGCTGGAATAGTTTGTTTTTCGTGTTTGGCCGTAATAAAAATGACCCACGCCGCCCCACAATTGGCCGGCGGAACAGTGCAGCAGAAAAGGAAGATACTGAGCGCCGGGGAGTACAACCGGATCTGCCAGTTCATCAATGGCTACCACGGATTGGCCATCGACTGTGAGTTCGAGTTGAGGAACCGCTTCTTCCAGGACGTGGAGCCGAATGCCCTCTCATGCATCCTCCAATCGGAGCTCTGCAACAAGTCGCGGGGTCAACACTGGAAGCAGGAGCAGCGGGGAAAGAAGCTATTAAAAATGTAAGCATTGTTTTGCGTCCTTGTTTTGCGTCCTTTCTTTATATTTCAAACAAGATATATATGTTATGGTACTGAAACAACACCTCCTCTACGAAGCTAATCCTTGCTTTTCGTGGTTAATTGTAATATGTCGCTTGTTTTCAACATGGATCACTGCTTTAAGTATATTCTTTTACCTTATGGGTTAATCGGATCAAACAGACAAAGTGCCAAATCTTCTTATTTAAAGGTTTTACAAAGATCATCCGAACTTAGTAAATATCCGACTTTCTATACCTGTTATATTTAACAACTATTAAAAGAATAGTTGATTTGAAATTTCTCTCTATAAAGAATAAGCAAAAGAGTTGTTAAATAGATTGCTTATTCTATAAAGATTAACTTTACTTTACTATACTTTCTAAAGAGAGAAAACTCTACTATCTTTAGAAAAAAGCCATAGGAAGTACTTAAATCCTTGTGTCATATAGGTCTCCATCATAAAATTGACCAGATACTCTATAAATGTCCAATAACTTACCATATTTTAGCTATGAGGAGCAGAAAAACCTATATGACAACGCTCTGCTGATCCGGATGGCCTGTGCCGAGGGACTGAATCCGGTGGCTCTCTGCCGGATGCTTCTGCAGGAGAAGTACAAGCTGCGCCACCGTTCGCACATCTCGCGCTTCCTGAAGCATCCGCATCTCATCGACGATCCCCGACTGGCGGCCAATGTGCAGCAGTGCATGATCAGCGACAATCAGGAGGGATCCATTACGGACCTGCGTCGCCGCATCCTCGGCGAGGAATACGAACTGAAGCTCAAGACACTGGCCAAAGAGGCGGGTATCCACTTCTACGACGAACAGGATTTGCGGCGGATGGGCTATGACAAGACGCCGGACATCAAGATGATCCTGCCATTTCTGTACAAGGACTCTGTGATCAACTGGATCGAGAGCAAGGCCAATTTCGGGGACACCAAGGGACACAAGTTCAATATTCAACAGCAGCTTCATAGCTACTGCAATCGGTGAGGATTCTAATAATTTAGTTTGTAATTTAGTTGCATCAATTTAATGTGTAATATACCTTTAAAAGCTATAAAATGTACCAAAATATGACGGTATCAAAAAGGTTAAGGAATAAATGCCCCGAGAAAGCTTCGATTTTTTATTAGATCTTTGGATTACTAAAATGCATTTTAAAATCTAATGAATCTTTATTTTCATTTCAGTTTTGGACCTGGGATCATAATCTATTGGTTTGGTTATCACGAGGAAACGCCAACGCTTCCGGATAATAACATTGGTATTACTGTACTAGCTGACTTTCCAGCCAAAGAGGATTTGGTTTTTATGCAGCTCGCACAAGGAGAAATACACACAAAAACTTTAGAGGAAACCAGTTCGGCGACTTTATCTTTAGGAAAATCCAGAGAAAAGGAGAGTCCAGCCAAAAAAATAAAAAAGCACTCGTGAAAGTGAAAATACTCATAGCAAAACGAAGAAACAGGGAATATCCTACTTCGCAATTTATGAAATGTCTCATTTTTTTTTTTACCTATTTAAAGATATGTGCTCGTTATACATGTTCTTACATTTAAACTAGAAATCATCAAATTCTGAGTAGGTTTAAACAATCAAGTTAATATAGTTTTAAACATCATCAACTTCCCAAAAACAATGGGAATTGGTAATTTAAAGACGGGAATGCTTTGCATTTGAAATCTAGCATAAAGACAATGCTGCTGCAGCGAAACAAGTTTTGTTTTTATTCATAACAATTAGTTCTCTTTTTATTGTATTTAAAAATTCTCATTTACATGATTTTCTCATTTGTTTATAGTACAAAAAGATTGTTTTATTTTTTTCTGGCATAAATCGTATATAAAACTATAAAATATTGTAATAATTGTTGTTCATAAAACGAATCAAAAACTGCTTGTCGTCTTTCATGGATAATAAAAATGGAAATCAAACAAACGTATTCATCTTGCTATGTCGTATGTTGTTTTGTATTGTGGTAGCCATTTGGCCATGTGTTATTTTCAATGTATTAACCAAAAATCAGCATTGTGTATATACAAAATTCAGCTGTGCCCTTTGCATTGGCAATTATGTTTTAAGTTTAATGCGGCCTCTTCGTCTAAATTGCGGGTTTGTTGCTCGGGCTGAAGAAGTAAAGTTATTGTTGCAAAGGTTTCGTAGCGGCAGGCAACTCGTCGATCTCGTTCAGCTTGATATATTTATGTACGCACACGGTCGAGTCGGCCATCAGACATCCTTCAGCTCCTCGGGCATGTCGTTCTTGGGATGCTTGTTCTCGAAATGCTGCTTGTATGTCTTGGGATCAGGCATTTGCGACTGAAATATAGAACAAAAATTTAATTAGATAATGCATCGATACACAAAGACTCTAATTAAAATAAGGTTAATTTTTCAACCATTTTAGTTTAATTCTGAGACCCCTTCCATGGGGACTGTTAGTTTTTTTTCACTTATGTATATGCTTATATCAGCTACATAGTAACGTGTTATTTACCTTATCACATATCCCTTATTTGTAGCTTAGTAATAAAAATGAAATGTACTTTATAAGCTTTAAAAAAATGTATTCTATTGAGTAATCTTCATATCTACCAAACCAAACCTACCACGATAAATTTACCTTATGTTTTAAGTCGTCCAAAAAAAAATACTTTTACGCCTATCAAGCTTATATACATATTTTTCGTTTGGGAAACTATAATTTTCAAAATGTAATACAAAAGAATTTCTTTACATGCCTATAGGAAAGTAAATTTTAAAAAGGATGTCTTGCTTAAAAGTCTGGTAAGCGATCAGGACCAGCATATTTTGTGTTCTTTTTTGATCGAGGGTATATTTTATATGCAGATACTGAAAAATAAATATATTAATATTTTATACCCTTTCTATATCGTTAGCGATCTCCGTTTAATTTGGTTGTTTAAAAAGAATTTTTTTCATACTTTTATATGAATTAGGATTCATTCCTTGACTGCAAGGGTATTCGGCTTGCCGAAGCTATGTAGCTCCATTCTCGGACAATAAAAATGTAATATAAATCATTTTCTTGCTGCTTTTAATTCCTTGAACCCTATTCTATATTAATATCCCAGTTAATATTAGCTTGTTTTCCATTTTTTTTTTGTCGAGGTACTATAATATTATATGCCCTGAACCTGATACTTAGGCAGGTTCCACTGTAGCTGGCTCACCTTGCAAACGGCGCACACATGAACGAGTGCCTTCTGGGCCGCCTTCTTCTGGTCGTTGGCGCTGTGTCCCTGCTGCTTCTTTATTTTGGCCTGTTTCTCGGAGGCTTTCGCCTGCGACTGGATCTTCTGGTGTCCGCGTGCCATTTCTCGCTGTATAAATGAAAATATCATTAATCATGCTTGTTGATTGTTTGCCTTAAAACGGGATTTGCAACTAATGCGGCAGAAGCGCATATACTTTCACTTTTTTCCCCCACCCACATATGTACAGCCAACAGTTGCGAGGGCTATATCTGAACAGGAAATCATTTCCCGGATCTTTGTACGATAATATCTTAAATATTAATGCAAACCTGCATTACAGGGTACCGCAACTACAAACAAATCACCACCGCAAACGAAAATGTGACTTTTCGAACACGTTCTGTGTTCTTTTTGCAATCCCATTTTAACTTACCTTATAAACCCGTTTATATTAAGTCGCCTCTGGAAATGCAAGTGGTTTAGCCCTTCGATTAAGGTCTAATTCGTTGTCTAGATACTATTTGATTTGGTACCCGAAATTGTTGACGTTTAGCCTTAGAAATTTGTTAATTTGTTGAGTTTTGTTTCGCAGCCAGGGTTGAATGTGACCAGATGGAAGTATAGTGAAAATACTCCGCTAAAATACAGGGTCTTCGAGTTCAGATATTTGTCTCTTCCTAGCGGAGTTTCAAACCCATTAAAGTATTCGAAATTTCTTTCATATTTTTCCTGAACAAAACAAGATTGTTAAAAATAAAAATTAAATACATAAAATAAGACAAAGATTTCAAATACTGCATTTATAAAAAAAATGTTGTTCTTTTTATGAGTCATCTGATCATAACTTTTTAAAAATGGAAAACATATACTTATTTATCGTTCATTTTAAATTCGAGAATTATCAAAATAATATATACATACTTTTCTTTAAGACAGTGGAGCTTTGAAAACACATTGTTCTTTATTTCTAACATTCTTTATTGTTTATAAATTCTCATTTACATGATTTACTCAATTTTTTATTGTACAAAAAGTTTGGTTTACATTCACTTGTGTCATTATTCGTATAAAATTATTCTTCATGAACCAAATCCAAAACGGAGCACAGAGTATTTATTGCTGTCTTTCAGTGCTAATAAATATCAAAATTAAAACATTCTTATTCATCTTGCTATGTGGTAGGTTGCTTTGTATTGTGGTAGGTAGCCATTCATCGAACAATTGCGTACTGTGTTAATTTCAATGTATAGTATAAACTAAAAACAAAACCAAAAGCCAGCAGTGTGTATACAAAAAATTCGGCTGCTTCCTTTTCATTGGCAAATATAATTATTATTACTAGTATCCATCCTCTTGGCTTCGGCTTGATTGTTGGTTTCTGTTTTTGTTTTGTTTTGTTTGGGCTGATGTAAAGTTATTGTTGCAAGGGTTTCGTACTGGTAGGCAACTCGTCGATCTCGTTCAGCTTGATATATTCATCCTCTACATGCCATCAGACATCCTTCAACTCCTCGGGCATATCGTTCTTGGGATGCTTGTTCTCGAAATGCTGCTTATAAGTCTTGGGATCGGGCATTTGCGACTAAAATGGAGGAGACATTCGATTAGATACGAGTTAATCTATTAAAAAAGGAAGTAAAGTAGGTAGTTTATAATCGCAAGAAATACAGTTTTGAGTTTATCAATTTTCGCAAGAAACAATTTTTTTTTTTAAACCTTTTATAGAGAAAATGTTGATGCATTAATATCTTATAACTAATTTGTATATCAAAAACCGTCTATACATATTTATTCCGAACCAAGAATAAGGATAGAATCGTTAAATCGATCTCGTTAAAACTTTGCCATATACATTGTTCTATTCTATTGTTCTATTGGAACTGCTGTATTTGGTTCGTACTAAGCAAGTTCCACTGTAGCTGGCTCACCTTGCAAACGGCGCACACATAAACAAGTGCCTTCTGGGCCGCCTTCTTCTGGTCATTGGCGCTGTGTCCCTGCTGCTTCTTTATTTTGGCCTGCTTCTCGGAGGCTTTTGCCTGCGACTGGATCTTCTGGTGTCCGCGTGCCATTTCTTGCTATAAAGGAAACAGAAGAGTTGATCATCAATCATTGCGGAATTTTGCTTTTACTAGGCTCAAACAAGGGAGGCAGAAGCGCTGTTACTTTATTTATTCCCCCGCCGTCCCAAATCCAGGTGGGTTTTTGTTTACCAGATCTGTGTGCCTCTGTTTATTTAAATCGAACCAGGCAGTATAGTGTACTGCAACTACAACAAATCACCCCCGCAAAAGAAAATGTGGCTTTCTGACCACGTTCTGCAGTCTTTTTGCCAGCCCATCTTCACTTACCTAATTAACCCGATTAAATTTGGTCGCCTGTGCTAAATGCCGGTTTTGCAGCCTTTGATTTAGGTTTAATTCGTTGTGAGGAATATGTTTTGATTTGGTACCCGAAATTGTTGACGTTTCGCTTTAGAAATTTATTAATTTGTTGAGTTTTGTTTCGCTGCAAGATGTGAATGTGACCAGACTTTATATAAACCTGAAATACTTAACAGGAAAACCCTTGGGTAGAGAAATTCGATAAGCATTTATCGGTGACCTAAACCGTTTAGGGATATTTGCTTTACGTAATGAAAAATGCCGTTATGAGACTCCGTAACGCACTACGTATTTAATTTGAATATAATCAACGCAGATCAAGTTTTAAACTTATTTAGATGGATAGATAAAAATATACCCTATACCATATACTATTGAATAAGTATAGTGTTTGATAATTTCAAATAAATGGAATTATGGTAAAATACACTCAGCAAACTCAGATCCTTGATTTAAAGAAAAATTGCCTTAACTTTTGAAAAATAATCTTTAATTTTTGCTTCTCATACAAAATATAGAAAGATATTACCTAAAACGACTACCAAGGAAATTTTTGCCTTAAACTTTGCCTTAAACTCATATTTACATAAATTCTATATGAATGGCTTAAATTTAAGGCAACGTTTCCTAAATTTAAGACAATTTTGTCCGAAAATTAAGGCAATCTACTTTTCTTTTAGCTGTCATACGACGGTGACAGACTTGAAGTTCCCAGCGACTGTCACTTTTAATGCCTTACACGGAATTCCTTCAGATTTAATATGTTACAAACAAAAATAAAAAAATAACAAAACTAAAACTAAACTCAAGATATTTTAGTAATTTCATTATTTTCAGCAACCTTACTTTTTTGTTAAGAATAACCCTTTTTTTACTTAACTAGTGCAATAAAAAGCGTGTATAGCTCGGAAATGAAACCGCAGAATTAAAATAAATATTTGATTTGTATATTTATTTAATAGAAAACTTAACAAAATACAACTATTTATAATTACACCAGCATACTGGCATTATTATCGCAAAACTCGTAAATATTATCAACAAACTGCATTTCCTGCATACTTTTAGCAACTTGAGGGGTATTTTTCACTTCTTGTGAGGGTTGTGGTACCGAGACAGTGTCAGTCGTCGTTTCCTCCAAAGTCAGACGTTTTAAATTGTTAATCAGTGATATATCGTGTCTGATATCGTTCTTCAGTTCGAGCAGTTCGTGCTCGGTTTTAATGATGTCCTCCGCATAAGCCTCGATATTTCGCTGCAATTGCCCGACCGATACCTCCATTTCCGGTCCCTTGTACCGTTCGTTTTGCAATCGATATAATCGACACTTTTCCGATAACTGACGTGTCAATGCGTACTCCTTTTCATAGCGAACATTCATATCGGCATGAAGGGATGCCAGTTTATTGCGAACACTATTACGCATTGGCTTATCCTTTCGCCTCCTTATGCAGTTATTATAGTTGTTGTTGTTGTTGCATTCGCTGGGAATCGCAGTCTTAAATGTTTCTATCGAAGCTTTGGTTACCTCGTGGCGACTTCGCCTTCGACGTCGTTGCTTGGAAACCCGATTCTCGGCCAGTTTATATAGCTTGGCCTTGGCTGCACTTTCCGTACCCCTATAAAGTTGGTCTGGCATTATAACCAGTACCAAATCATCGGCCATCGATTGCTTTTGACCAAGCAAACTCTTCTCCTTCAATTTATTGGGCACTTTTGGCGGTGTCTTGGTAGGTTTTGGCATTATTTTTTTCCCCTTTTTAAAATGCAGTAGTTTCTTAAGCCACTTGATCATGGAAAAACTTGTGGTGTCTTGTGTATGGGGTACTAATTGCATGGCCTGGGGATCTCTGAAGTTATCACGATGTTTCAAAGATATGCGGAGCTGTAATAAGAAGGACACAAAGAAATATGATTAACAAAAAAACAAATATTGAAGTATTATTCAATTTTTGGGCTTTCTTAGTTTTTCTTTAGATTCTTAAAGTTTTTTTTGAAACTAGTTAAATAGTGTTTTAAAATTTTTTTTAGTTTTAATCCTTGAATTCTGAACTCGAATGATAAAGTGTTTTATCTTAGCTTTATCCATATAATAGGGACCTACGAAAAGACTAAAATACTTTTAAAATTTGAAAATGGCAATGAATGTAATCAAAGAATCATAATCAATTTAATTTAAAAAGTAAGGCACACGATAAATAATTTCTAATGTTTCTATTAATATCTCTAATAAAGCTATTTATTTTACTTTCTGTCATATTCCGGTTGTCTAACAATAAAATCAGCCTAACTTATTCCCCCGTGTCCACCACTCTTTCTGTTCATTAACTAGATAAGATCATCAAATAATAATTAGGAGTACGTAGCCCGCAAATGGCATTAATCCAGTTCCTAATGGCGGGGATCATAAAAAATTTACAACATTATTAAGCCGAAAGGAAAACATGAACTTTAATATAAAAATCAATAGGCAAATTGATTTCATTCGGTGCGTCATAAACAAATAAATACGAAAAGCCAGAGCATAAGTCAAAAGCAAGTGGTACAGTATATAGAAGGCGCGGGTGTGACGACTTTGGATGGGGTGGTAAAAAAAAAACCGGGAGGAATGGGTTTTCGAGAACGACATGAATTTCACATTTCTTGGCTTGCGTGTGGCGCCAGGAAAAAAGCGCTTATTATGCAATCACTGTAGACTTTTTTTTTGGGCCGAGTTTGCTGGTGTTTCTGTTTCTGTTTTTGTTTTTTTTTTTCTGCACGCCAGGTGGGATTCCCCTTAGTTGTTGCCATTACCTCATTGTGTACACGACTCCAAGCGCGCCAAACGGGCAAAATGGCCATGTTGCCATCGTAGCTCCGCTCTATGCCGCCCCAACTTTCCGTTATAATGTAATCGCCGTAGTCACGCGATGCTGCCGCCGTATTCCTCTGGCCGCCATCTTGTTTTTCCAACGTCCGGAAAAGTAAAAAAAAAAAAATTCAATGAAACGAAACGAAATGAAACGCAAACACAAACGTGGATAAATAAAAGTAATTGTAAATAAGAAGCATAAATAAATAAAAAGCCAAATTGTGATGTACGAAAAATGGCTGTCACGACAGGATCGATTGTATTATTACCGACTTACCTTTCGGATTAATGCCGCCGAAATACCCATCGCCGTTGCTCAGTTCGTCATCAATCAGGGCCTTGATTATGTCATCGCAAGTCGTTTTGTTCGTCACTCCCGATACGTAACGCGCCTCGCCATCGTCCATCCAGATGGGGATTTCCTTGTGGCCTTGCTCCTAATGGGTCGCCGGAAAAAAAAGCGGGGGAAGTACCGGGATCAATAAACAGGGTTGCAATACATTTCACACGGAAATTGGGGACAGGTATTGGGTTAAAAGACCTTGAGTAAAGTCTGGCGTTTGGTTATGCAACTGGAAAGGCTTTAATGAGCTCATTCTATAAATTCCAATATATCAAACCCTTTTTTTGTTTTTCATTACTACACTAAATATAAATTATATAGCTTTAAATTAAAGGGAAAAAAGGTTTTTAGTAACAGCTCTAGAAAAAAGTCTAACGTTGGGAGGGAATACCGAATGAATCGATTTTATTTGGCTCATTTTATAACTGACAATAGATCAGTAAACTTTTTATTTTATATGATTAAATTTGTTGTTGACAGACATTTTTTAAAAAAGAACGCTATATTTAAAACAGCTCAGATGCCCTGTTGCTTGTTTTTCAGAAAGGGCTTTAATTAAAATCGAATCTATTTATTTGTTTAAGATTATTTATTTTCTTATATTTTTAAAAAATATGTTTTTCTGAATGATTATTAACTTTTTAAAATATAAGCAGTATTATCTTTGCATTTCTAAATGCGGAAGAGAGTTATTTATGCATTTTGTGTAAAGTTCTTAATTTAAGCAAATAATGTGGGCTCTGCGATATATTGTACATTAATCATCTAAACAATGTGTTTCTATATAGGTAAAATACCTTGGGCAAGCCTAAAAATACACTTAACAAGAAAGGAAGCAAACTTCGGCAAGCCGAAGTTTATATACCCTTGCAGCTATTTCAAAAACTAAATACTCTTTAAAACGTTTAAATTATGATTTACTTGCGTGTATGTTTAAAAACATTGAAGCTATGATGATTTGCAGCTTAATTATTCGATAGTTCCTATGGCAGCTATATGCTATAGTCGTCCGATTTGATGAAATTTAAAACGTAATTCTAAAATATTTAACCATTACTATATCTCGAAGAACTAAAAAAAAAAAAAAAAAACAGAAAAGTTATAATTTTTTTCATTTAGTTTTCCGATTGTTCCTATGGGGGCTATATGATATAGTCGTCCGACTTTGATGAAATTTAAACCGTAAATCGGAAATATGTAACCATTACTAAATGTCGAAGAACTAAACAAAAAATTGAAAAACAGCAAAGTTATAATTTTTTTCATTTATTTTTCCGATTGTTCCTATGGGAGCTATATGCTATAGTCGTCCGATTTTGATGAAATTTAAACCGTAAATCGGAAATATGTAACCATTACTAAATGTCGAAGAACTAAACAAAAAATTGAAAAACAGCAAAGTTATAATTTTTTTCATTTATTTTTCCGATTGTTCCTATGGGAGCTATATGCTATAGTCGTCCGATTTTGATGAAATTTAAATCGTAAATCGGAAATATGTAACCATTACTAAATGTCGAAGAACTAAACAAAAAATTGAAAAACAGCAAAGTTATAATTTTTTTTCATTTATTTTTTCGATTGTTCCTATGGGAGCTATATGCTATAGTCGTCCGATCCGGCTCGTTCCGACTTATATACTACCTGCAATAGAAAGACAACTTTTGGGAAAGTTTCATGCAGATAGCTTTAAAACTGAGAGACTAGTTTGCATATAAACGGACGGACAGACGGACAGACGGACAGACGGACATGGCTAGATCGACTCGCCTAGTGATGCTGATCAAGAATATATATACTTTATAGGGTCGGAGATGTCTCCTTCACTGCGTTGCAAACTTCTGACTGAAATTATAATACCCTCTGCAAGGGTATAATAAAATGTTTCAATAGCTCAGCAGTGAAAATCGTAGCCTTTTCGTACTTAAGTTTGGATAGGTGTGTGAAATTTCATTGTAATTTCATTGAGAAACCCGATTTCTAATTTAAAGTTGAGATTGATTTTGTATAAAACCGTAATCCATTTGGATTCAGATCCCAGTGGCAGTTTCTCCTCGAGTTTGCCTGTTTATGCATATGACTAACGCTTGTGCCTGCCCCCCAATTAGATGATTTGTTTGATTTCAGTGGAAAAGTTGCCGCAGCCCAAAAATCAGGGGTGTGGGTCGAGAGATTCAAGGGGGTTGTGTGTGTGTGTGAGGTGGCCAGTAGTAGAGGGGGTTGTAGGCACTTACCACTGTGCTATTAACGCCATAGAGGGAAATGGAACGGTGGCGACGACTGGCCTGGCCAACGTTTCCGTTTTCCCTGCCGTGTTTATTTTTGCACGCTTGCCGAGTTAATGGTGGTGGTGGTGGTGCTTTAGGTGGTGCTAATGGTGGCTCCCCCACCGACTCATCCACCAAACGCTCCTCGAATGCAGCCTGCTTATTATTATTATTATTATTATTGTTGTTGGTGTCTTGATTTTGACATCGTCGCGGTGGAAGAATGGGGCTTTCGGGTAGATTTAGCAGCGATGGACAGCTGCCCATATTATCATCGATGAATGTGGAGTTCTGCTGTTGCGGCGCCATGTTCCTTTGCCCCATTGAAAAACCTCTCTCTCGATAATTGGCACTGCAATGAACAAAAAAAAAACATTTAAATATAGAGAACATGCAATATCCTTGTTAGACATTTTGTTGGTTCAGCTGGGTGTTCGCCTACGCCGAACGATCAATTTAGATTTGTTGCCGCGATTAAATAAATTATGCAGTAGCCCTATGCCGTACAATATGCACACCTATTTGGCATATATATACTATGGTAAATATATAACATATATATGTAGTTGCAGCTAGCCATAGACACCACGCAGCCCCATCTAGATTCCTAGAAAATTGCCTACCAACGTCAGTTGGCGCCAGTGGCCCATTATTCAGGAACATTGCCGGCGTTTAGCCTGTCGCACCATCACCATCACCATCACCATCCCATCATCCCATCGCAGTCCTACGAGGCCTACTAAGCCCCATTTCTCCATTTCTCCACTAGACCCCCACACATAATTTGTTGTTTGGGGGGCGTTGTACGGACCTTGCAGTTTGTATGCAAATTCGATGGAGTACCAGCCGAAAAACATTTTCCCTCTTTTTTGCATTGCAATCGGCGGCCTGACTGACTTATGAATTAATGCTAATTTATGCCGCCGGAAAATGCAGCGAAGGAGCTCAAATTATATGGATTGACGGGGGGCAAGTGATGAAATATTTTTGAGCGAACAAATTACAGAGCGTAGGTGCTAGGGCGTCGATACAGGCAAGTCCCAGCTAAATGCTAAGATTCATTATTGCAGAAAAATATATAAATGTTTCAAGTAAAACAAAATTAACAAGGGGTTTTTTGGTCCACAAACTTCTGCAGAAGTTTTAGAACTAGAACACTATATAGATATTAATATTGAAAACTTTGAAATTAATTTAATTTTGAAATAAAATTAAAAATTCACCGACAATCCCTCATAATTATCCCATGAAATTAAGATTTTTTAGATTGATCAGGAAACTAAGGTTCCCCCTAGGACCTTATTTACGGCCAAAAGTGCAATTGAAATGGAATTTACAGAATTTTTCAGAATTCCCTCATCAAATATTTATATACTCTCTGGACAGGTGCCTTAGCTATGCGCCACGCCCCCTTTTCTATTAGAGAAATGAGTTATGAGTGCAGCAATTTGCGAAAGGATTTCCACATGCAGGTGGAACTGCAACCAGCGAAGGACCTATCGCAGAATATCCTTGAGTGTGTGTGTGTGTGTGTGCTGCCTTTGATTGCGCTGGACACCTGGACATGCCAACGTTCATTTAAAAATGTAATTTCCAATCAAGATAAGTTCAAATGTAAATTTCCTCCTTTGGCGAGGTCAATTACTGAACTCTGACCCGCCCCCGCATTGCACTTAATTGTTTCGAGCGAATGGACGGCCGCCAGCCTTATTACACATTTATGGTCGGGCAGTTGGCCAAGTTGGGAAACAGCTCTGACCCCCCGAAAGTTCAATGTCTCCAAAGTTTAGCCAGCGATTGGATTTCACTCTTGGTGTATTATATTTTTAACTGTTTCATAATTTTAGCCTAACCCGAATTAATTGCTCCTGTGCAATCCCCCCTCGATATTTCCGTTGCGTGTTGGGGCGAAATTAATTTTGTTTTGGTACTGCGCATTGGATTCTAAATTGAAAATAGAGGAACCAACGCAGTCGTGACGTTAGCGGCTCAATAGGGTTGGTACAGGGGGGCGTATGAGTAATATTTCGATGGCAGTGATTTGATAATGTAGAAGTCAAAGCTCAAATCTTTTGTAAGAACAAGGTTTTATACATTGTGTTGATTCCCTACGACTTTCGTTTGCCATCGAATTTATAATAATATAAATATATATTGTTAAGTCAATATTTATTGAAGTAGAAGTACTTTTTTCCCAACTTTTTTTATACGTGATTAATAGCATTAAGATATTTGGTTCATGTTTTAAAAAAAAAATTAATATGCCAAAGAAATCTCTACAGATTATAAACCTTTCTAAAATATTTTATTTATTTAGCCATTTTAGCTTTCATCTATCTGTTATTCATGTATCCATGCTTTTAATTTTTCCAAATTTTCAAACATAGGTCTAAGAATTCCCTGCTATTTAATATGCTAATTATTAATATAATTTGCTTTTAGAAATGTTGTTTAAAGCCGTCGATTAAATTTTGGCACCCGCAGAACCACAGAATAATGAAATCAACTGTGAATTCTCCCAGTGCCAAGATTCAAAGTCAGCATGGCCATGATCTTTCAGAAAACACAAAAATCCAGGCACAAGATCACCTGGGATCGCTTACCTCTAGATATTTTCTCCAAGTGTGGCAGTTATGTTACACTTTGCAAGTGATCCTCTTGCGTTTCTGGCGCGTTTCTTTCAGTTTTTGGCAGTTTAGTGGGTAATTTGGTTCTAACGATTGTGTTGTTGCTGAACGAGCTTCACTGGTTCACACATGCTGCAGCTGCAAGGACATGCTAATCCTTTGAGCTTTGACACTTGACTGAAGTTCAAATTTGAATTTGCTGCTATGTAAGGTGAGCTGGGCAGCGACGTCGTCGTCGCAGTCGGCGCTGACTGCGCTGCCGCCTACCGGCCGGATAATATACGGGTATATAGAAATGTTTCTAGATCTAGACAGGTGCTAATGCTGCTGTCCCTGTCGCTGGCACTCGAATCGAGCCTGGCACTGAAAGCCTTTCGCTCCGTTCGCATTCAAATTCTCCACACGGCACAGGTCCTTCTCCTGCTCGACGTATCGTTGTTGCCACGAACAACGTTGCACAACAAATAACTGAACGGCGTATCCTTGGCGACGGCAAGTGACTAACTAAAATTTTATTTGCTACCACACAAAACTTTAAAGCAAAAGGAACGAGCTGCCCGGAACGCACACCACGACACACCTGGCGTTGCGGGAAAGAGAGCGTCCGAGGGTAGGTTCTCCTACTGCCCCTGCCCCCTGCCCCTGCCCCTTCCCCTGCCTCTGCCTCTGCCCCTGCTGTCGTCATCATCATCCTGCCACTGCCACGACTGCGTCTTTGGCCAACCACCAGCCACCACCGAAATTGAGTAAAAAAAAAAATACAGTATAAACGGCCGAGTCTTCCTACCAATTTCCACTAGCCCTAGCCTTCTAGAACTTCTCTCTTTTGGCCGCAAACACTGCCACTACCACTACCACTACCACTTCCACTACCACTACCATTACGATTACCACTGCCACGACCACTCCCTCCGCTCTTTTGTTGCAGTCGCAGCTATTCCGTAAGCGAACTATAGCGTGTGCTACCCGCCGGCAGCACCAACACCAACACCAGGAACCAACAGGAACCACCGTCAACACCAACACAGCAATGCACTGCGAAAAAATATTGACACAAATAATCACCCTTCAGTTTACGATTTTCGACCCCTTTTGGTGTTTATCTATCAGGTGTCTTAGTTTTACAAAAATATTATGTTCCTTGAAAGATCTGCTGAAATCACCTTAATAGACAATTCATCTTAATTCACCAAATTTTTTATTTTTTAATTTCCAACATTAAATATTGTTTTATTTTGTTTATGTTATTTTAGCCAACATTGTGCACAAATGTGTAGTAGAAAATATAATTATATACATCTTAAATGAAACATGGCAACGTATACAAATATTATTTATAAAAATAAATATAATAAAACCAGTGCCAAATAAATGAATAAGGTCATCATGTTTGTCACATATAAACCCAAATAGGGAGTTCCACCGATGATCTTTTTTTGAAAATGCTAGCTATCCATGAAAGTATATAACTTAAATAATTTCTATTTTTAACTTCTAGTTCAACATCATACTTGAAATTAATGCAAATTAAAGTGTACCGATCAAATAAAAAATTAATAAAAGTACACCTTTATAAATTAAATGATCTCAATGGTAGGCAATATTTAAATCAAAGGAACCTTTTGGCTGCAAAAGAGAATATTTTAATTATTGAGTTTCAAGCCATCAGCTAAAATAAGGAGCCGGAAGTTGTCAATGTCATATCCACATATGTTAAAAGTATTGTTATTTATCTCAGTGTACCAATGCCATGACGCGCACTTTGCGTTATTTGGTAAAACGAGATTGTTGATAACGTGCCACCAACAACAGCAACAAAGAACTATAAAAACTAGCGGTACATAAAAAACGAATTTCTGCCTTGTTTTTATCTACCCCCACTAGTGCGCCCACCCTTCACCCAGCCTATTCCGCCACCCCCACTGTTTTTTTCGCCGTGTATTTTATTGTTAATGGGCAGCATTTGCTTTTCAATTCGATTTTTTTTTCGATTTTTTCCCTTTGGTTGTACATTTGTTGCTAGCAGGCTTTTTCGGCCAGGATCAAAAACTTCAGGATAGCAGAGGGAGAAAAACTAAATGGGATTGAAATTGGTAGGGGTTGTATCTAAGAAATAGTGCTAATGGTTTTAGCAGCAGGCTTTTGGTAGTTTATGTATGGGAAAGTAAAAGTGGCTTCTGTGGAATTGGTACTGAAAATATATAATATATTTTATTTTGAATGCGATTTGTGAAAGTCCATTGTTAATACTTTAATTGCTTAAAGGTCTTTTAAGTAGAATTTTTGATATCGTAAGGCCTATTAAGAAAACTGTTTCAAAAACATTTAAATTAAATGTAATAGATTTTATTTTGAATGTGACTGGATTAAGTCTATTGTTAATACTTCAATTGCTTAAAGGACTTTTTAGTAAAAATTTTAATATCTTAAATATAAATGTTAACAAAACTATCGTATAAACATTCAAGGGATCAGATATAAAATGTTTTCAAACAGCCAAAATTTAAAAATGCTTTGTTGAATACCAGATCTATAAACGATGACGTTCGTATATATATATTTGCTAAAGCTCCAACTCCTTTGCTCGGCCTCCCTATAATTTACATTGGACTCATAGGGATTGGGCAACACAAATATTCAATAATGCTCGAGCTCATTAGGAATCGATTCGATGAATGTACGCCCCATGAAGCACATCATGGAAATTATAGATGCAAAGTGGATGGCAGGTGCCAACTTATCTGAGTAATATGACAAATAGCCTCTCCTTGCAAGTCATTACAACTGTGCTTGGTAATGGTCAAGCAATTGCATTCGGGGCTAGAAAATATATAGTGCCTAAGCCCAACCACCAAATAACATAAAAAAATAACCAATTAAAAACACGCAAGTTGTTCATTTCTGGAGAAAAAGCGCGTGAAATTGTGACGCGTTTTGGGCCAAAAGCGAATGTGGCTACAACGATTATGTAAATGATTGATTTGGAGCTGGAGCGGGTCAGGCTGTACTTGCTAGCACTCAGTGACTAGGGGTTAGTTAGCCACCCCTTGCTAACTTGGCCGCTGCGGTTCAGCGATTTCACGGTATGGCACCGAGCTCGGCATAAACAAACATAATGCTCGTAATATCCTTATAATGGCACCAGCTACTCTCCGGAGGGATTATTATTACTATTACTGCTTTTTTAGTGTGGGAACCATTGCGCTGGTGGTTATTAATTTTTATTTGGATTTTCGTTGGCCACATAAAGCGACTAATTGCCACGCCCCCCCCACCACATTCGCCTTAGCTCTCTAATTTGGCAGGTCCTTTTCGGCCACTGCATGCAATTGGCTGGCGCCACGTGTCAGCGGGGCATGGAGGCATGGAGGCGCCGAAAAGGGGGGTTATTTGTTAGGGGGTGCTGTCTGGCGTTGCATGTGTCGCATATATGGAAATTTCCTAATGACAGGGGCGTACGTACCACTCGGGGCCCAAGTTCATTGCGGTCGAGTTCAGTGCTCAAGCAATGATTGAGTTTTATTGTTGATTGCTGAGCAGAGATTGCAGGTCAGCTATACAGGGTAAGTTGCCAGAGGGTAGTGTATATGGTATAGGGTGTACCTGATTTCTTACTTTAAATCAATATTTTATATTAAAATTTACCTTATAGTTTGGTAAGAATATACTTTTATTTGAAATAGTTTATGTTTCCCCTTTATGTTTCAAATGAAAAATTAAAAAACTAATTAATTTAAAATAGTTTGAACAGAGTTTTGAAAAAAAAAAACATCTTAGCTTTAGTTACCAGTTTTTTATCTGGTATAAAAGGTGCAACAAAATTAAGTTTTTAATACAAAGGTGAAATAAATTGTATTGTTCTGATTAAAAACTTATTTTCAAAATGTTAACCAAAATATTAAACTATAAACTCTTAAGTTATGAGAATAAGACCATCATAAAAGTTTTGTTTTTCTTGGTAATATTATTTAGTACTTCTGTTTTTTACAGGAAATAACCTTTCAATTGTTAACTTTATAATTAATAATTTAATTTTTATACAATATGTTATTACTCCTTCTCATATTGTTTATTAGGCCAAGGTGTTTTTCTTTAGTGGAGCTTGACTTTTTCATTTTGGATTATAAGATGCAAACGATCTATCACATAGTTTCAGCAGTCAGCATCAGCTGTTTTCTTATTGTTTCCTTGTTATGGCCCAAACACACATGTTCTTGTCCACAGACTGACCCTGACATAAATATTTCCTAAGATCAATTCACATGTGTTCGATCCATTCCACACCCTCTACAAATTGTAACGTATTTTACCGCCACAGAAACAAATGTAATTCGTTTGCATCAGGTCCTAAAGAGGGGAGATTGTTACCTTTCGGGCCACTTACTGGCCAAGGCACAAAATAATTACAAGTGGCAACCGGCAGACGACAAACGGCCAACTGCATCCAGGTAGAACTGGCCCCTTCCTCGGCACTACACCTTTACTTCTACCTTTACCGCGTGCCATCATCGCCGGCTGCTGTTGCAGGTGCAGAAGTCAGCGAAGCGAGTCCCGATCCCAGTTGAACTCAAGCCCGTACACAGAGAAAAAAAAGCTCGTTTATCTTTAGTAATTCGAATGCCAAATTTAGGGGCATTGATCTATTTTAAATATTATTAATGACTTATACTTAAAACGCTTTTAGTAGCAGGTTTATTTTGAAAAGCTAAAAATGGTTTAATGTGTATTAGGTATTAATAAGTCATCAAATAGTTTCCTGTGTAGCCACACACATTCTCAGAGCCAAAAGACAGTTGCATTTCGTGCGGGGCGGAAGGAAGCTGTTGCGCGGGTCAAAACACTTGTCCTCGTTCGCCGGTTCCGAGTTTGAACCTTCTGGGCGAACCTGTTTGCTGGTTTATCTGGCAAGGGCGGGCTCTGAGATCTGGCCAACAGACAGCTCCAATAAGTACACTGAGAATAATAAGTTTAGGTTTTCTGAATAATATTACAAAATATAAATGATTTAAAAGCAACTTTTTTGCACTTTTTGCTGAGGTTTTATAAAGCTCAATTGAGTTAGCCTTACCAAAAGTCTTCTCTTTGTTGCAGGTAGTATAAGTTGGAAAGAGCCGAATCGAACAATATATAAAAAATCTCTCATAGAAAAAATTGAAAAAATAAAATAAGAAAAATGTAACTTCGCTATTCTTCAATTTTTATAAATATATTATAAGAATTTTCAATTTAAAAATATTGTATTGTGTATATATTTCGGGAGTACGGTTTTAATTTTATTAAGATTAAATAATCATTTCATATATGTAGATCAACATAGGAACTATAGAAAAATTGAGCGGCCAATCGACACAGCTTCCTTGTGTAAAATCTAAATTTACTTGTTTTAACGAATATTTTATTTTTGTAAAACTGCCGAAGTTTGCTACTTTTCTTGTTGTGATTTAAAATGTTTATACCCTTGCAGAGGGTATTATAATTTCAGTCAGAAGTTTGCAACGCAGTGAAGGAGACGTTTCCGACCCTATAAAGTATATATATTCTTGATCAGCATCACTAGTAGAGTCGATCTAGCCATGTCCGTCTGTCCGTCTGTCCGTCCGTCTGTCCGTCCGTCTGTCCGTCTGTCCGTCTGTCCGTCTGTCCGTCCGTTTATATGCAAACTAGTCTCTCAGTTTTAAAGCTATCTGCATGAAACTTTCCCAAAAGTTGTCTTTCTATTGCAGGTAGTATATAAGTCGGAACGAGCCGGATCGGACGACTATAGCATATAGCTCCCATAGGAACAATCGGAGAAATAAATGAAAAAAATTATAACTTTTCTGTTTTTTAATTTTTTGTTTAGTTCTTCCACATATAGCAATGGTTATATATTTCAGAATTATGGTTTAAATTTCATCAAAATCGGACGACTATAGCATATAGCTCCCATAGGAACAATCGGAAAAATAAATGAAAAAAAATTATAACTTTTCTGTTTTTTAATTTTTTGTTTAGTTCTTCGACATTTAGTAATGGTTAAATATTTTCGATTTACGGTTTAAATTTCATCAAAATCGGACGACTATATCATATAGCTCCCATACAAATAATAAAAATATATAAAAGAACAATCAAATAATTAAGCTGCAAATCGTCATAGCTTCAATGTTTTTAAACATATACGCAAGTAAATCATAATTTTAATGTTTTCAAAAATATTTAATTCTTGCGATAGCTGCAAGGGTATATGAACTTCGGCTTGCCGAAGTTTGCTTTCTTTCTTGTTATATTTAATTTAAATCACGAAATTGTGATTTCAAAAAATGTTGATATTTCTAATTTGGTAAAGGCTTAAATATTTTAACGATTTGTAATAATCTAAAATCCTAACAAGTTCCCAAGGTCATGGTATTCATCTTTAAAGTTTGCTCTTGTGTAGAAGTACTTAATAAATACCTTAATGGATGAAAGAAACTATAAATGACACTACTAGTTAAGTTTTTTTTTAAGTTTCCTTAAGGGTATTATTCATAATTCATTTTTCTCTGTGCATTGGCAGTTGTAGCCCTAGTGCATTCAGTTGTCATTCTCTGGGCAGGTTGTTTCCCATGTGCGGTGCTCGGTTTTAGGGGTTGTCGGTGTCCCGTCTTAACGGCAACTGCGCCTGCGTCTGTGACTCGTGTGCATTGACCTGAAAACTCAGCGCGCCTTTTTAGTTATTTATGCCTTGTTTTTGTATCAGGTATATCAACTAAATAAAGAGGAAGGGATGACAATCTATAACGAATTAGTTTATTATAGTTGGCATTCAGAGATATCTTATTTATACTTAACTAAATTTCTTCAGATAGGAAATAGACAATACAAAAACTAAAATAAGATTCAAACTTACCTAAACTTCCATTCAAAATATTAATTTATTTTATCTAGTTATCAATGAGACCTACTCAATAGTTTCAGAAATCTATAATTATTAATTAATTATTAATGCTACTATGACTAAGCCTAAATTGATTTAAAATATATTTTAATTAAAAATAGTTTTTTTTTGTTCATGTCCTAATCCCAAACCCAATGAAAAATTCCGATCACTTCAAATTTATTTAATAATTGTTTTTCGTTTTCTGATTGAGACGATCTTTATTAATGCGAAGCTGCTTTGTTTATTAGTTTTCTGGTTTTGTTCGTTTGTTGTTTTCCAATTTTTCGTTTTTTCAAATATTTTCTCGTTAATATCTAATTTTTATTCGGTTTATGTACTTGGTGTATTTACATGATGTTCGTTTCTGGAATGCAATATTAATAAATTGGTTTGTATTATGCTCAAGGTTGTGCATTATAAAAAAGTTTCTTTTTTAATTATTACGTTTGGTAGCATTGTGGGATTTTTGGTTTTTGTAATTGATCTTTAAGAAATCTACTCGTATGTGAAATAAATTGGAGAACAGAAATCGCCCCAATGGCTCAACTTGTTTTCCATTTTTTCAACGTTTTTTATATAATTTTTCTTAACAAATCTCTAGCAAACAGTTCAGTTTGACTGGCATAGATTAGCAAATATTATTAAAATTAAAAATTATTTTAAAGTTATTCGATAAAATGATTTAACTACTAACTTTCTTGTTTTATTAATATTTACATTCCGTTCATAGTAATTACAAATTATAAGCCTTTTGGGTATTGAGAATTTAAAAAGTGTTTTGAGAACTCCATAACCTACCCATCAAATATGAGTACATTTAACAGATTTTCTTAATGCACTTAAATTTCTTGTGTTGCCTTTATTAATTTTCTCTTTTGCTAAATTCATTAATGCTTTTTAAGGGTGAACTTTTATGGCTTTGATTTTAGATCTATTTCATTTAAATATATTTTTATAATGTTACTGGTCTTTGGTTTAGCTTCTACTTTGTTTTATCAGCAGTTTAGCTTGTGAGGAGTTCAAAACAATCCCAAACTGAACTCGTTATAGGGCACATAGGTCGGGTTCCCATTAGTAACAACTCAAACTGTGTTTCGCTTGAAACCTTCTAAGCAATCAATAAGTTTTTAATTTTTTCAAAGAAGGCACCTTCACCCAAATCGATTGCTAACTAACATTTAAATGAGTTACGTGGTTAAGCAGTTTAAAAAACGAATCGAATATAGTTTCTAAGGGTCCATCTTTATCATATTTTATTTGTACATTCCTTATATTGGCCACATATTCAGCAAATTCTACTCACATTTTTACCCTTTTCTTTACTTTCGCAACAAAAATATTTATTCTTGGACGCAAAAAATTTGGATTTCAGCTTTTGTGTTTTTTGTGTACTATGAAAGCCGCTAACTTTACAAAAAAACTCGAAATTATTCGGCATTGCTTGTTTGAAAGTTTACTTAGTACTTGCATTTCGTCAGAGAAACTTTTGTGTTTTTGTAAATTGCAAAAAGATTGTCCTTGTCTTTGGGTTTTCTTTTCTTTAAATTGTATTTTAGTTTTTTTTTTGTTAAATGAGAAAAAGAGCTTGCAAAATGCGAAATGAAAAATTCCCAAAAAATCTACAAATTCTAAATTCATAACATTATTTATTTGCAAAAAGCATTTTGTGTATACGCGTATTGTGTTCTATATAGATAATATTGTTTAAACAATTGGTAACGGTGGCCCTCAATAACCTGCTCTCAATTAATTTCAATAAAATTTCGTATGCAAAGGTTTGTTTAAATTTATGTTTTTTTTTTTTGTGTTGTTTATCACAAGGTTTAAATTTGGTTTAGGCTTAAATTGTTTGAAGTTTAGGTCGTGCTTCTTTGGGTTTTATTAATATTTTATTTATCCTCCAAACGTTTTGCAGAGCGTTCGACGACATACATTTTATCTAAAATACTTGGGTGTTAGTTTTGTGAGTTTATAGTTGGGTTGGCATATGCTTCATAGCTACTTATGAGAGTTTTATAAAGTTTCTTGTCATATATATTTTTGTAAATATTTTAGTTAGCTTTCGTTTATGTTTCTTCTTCTATGAGCTTTGATATGTATTTTAATAAAAGGTTTTAGGCAATTCCTGCTGCTACTTAAAAAGGCGTTGATGGATTAAATAAAATTCATGAAGGTGTAAAAACATTCGGTTGTAAACTGTTTTACGTACGTAATACATTTCTATAAAACCAAATTATTTCGTATGTTTTCATTTCACCTGGTTTTTAGTTTAGGAAAGCGTTTTCTGTGGTCTACTTTGCGGCGGTTCCATTTCTACGAATTTATGTTATACAACTCCTGCTTTATCAATTGAACATTTATTGAAAAAATAAACAGAATTTAACTAAACATTTAAATAAATATTATATACAGTATAGCGTATCGTGAAGTCCTGTGTGATGATTAACAATTTGTGTGTTCTGTTTGTTTACTCTTTGACATATGCGGAGGCATTTCAACTCATCGAATTGAATGGAACAAAACTGGGTTTTAATTTCATAATATTTGACTAGAGCTGTTTGTAAATATATAACATCTATGTATATGTGTATAAACAGGTTTGCATCTTCGACTACTCAAATAGGTAAAGCCTTAAAGCTGTTTGGTTTGCGTTTCATATTTCATAATTATAGGCTAGGTCTTTTTATCTTCTTGGATCGTGTTTTTTTTTTTTTTGGTACTTTCAGCATTAATTTCTTTGCTTAATAAGTTGTTTAAATATTATATATTACAATTGCTAGACAGTGTTTCTTTGGTTGGTATAATTAACTAATGCATTTTCGAGCATATGCAAAAATTTGCAAATTTAATTTAAAGTTTTTTTTTTTTTTTGGTTTGTTTCTACTATTTTTAAAAAAGGCAGTCGAAAATGTTTCTTTCGTATGTTTGCTCATTTGCATAAATTTAACTTTCGTAAATATTAATTATTAACAACTTATTCATTTTGGTTTTATCCCCGTTAACAACTCAGTTTAAACTAATTTTTTTCATTTTGACGTTTTTATCACTGGATTTGTCATGTTGTTGCCATTTAAATAATCGTTAATGAATAACTAGATGTACTTTGTGTTTCCCTTTGTTACATTAAAATTATATGACTTTGCAAGGCCCTAAAAATTAGCAAACGAGTTTTCAAGTCAGTTTGCATGGTTCTCTACAAAATACTTTACGAGTTATGCATTTTCACGCCGTTCGAGTTTGCTTTTCTGGCTTTGCTTCGGCAATTTAGCGTGTTCAAGTATCTATATGTATGTTTATGCATTGTTTTTAGTGTGTTTGCTTAATTTTACGAAAATCCTTTATAGTGTACAAAGAAGAATATCAGAAAAATGGCATAAGCAGTTGGAAATGTAATTCTAGCGATGACATCGATCGTCTTGGCCACTCGAATCGGATGAGGTGGCTCTTTTTTCCGCACTTGAACGAAGCAGGTCTGAAAGATAAATAAAAATACGTAAATATTTCTTCAGAACTCGTTCAAAAATAAGTTTCTCTTTTGCAAAAAAATGTTTAACATTGCTATTCTATTGCCTTTTTGGAAAATAAGTTGTATAAAAATTGCACATTCATTTTAATGTGGTACTGTATTTTTATTTTATTTATTTATTTATTTTATTAATAAAATCTAAATCAAATCATATTGGGTATGACAGTTTATTTAATATTGTTGAATGCTTTTTTTATTATTGATTGGAAATGTATCAATACAATTATATTCAAGGATTTAAAAAAAATCTTCCAAGAATATCAAAATAAAATGTATTTTCTCTAACAATACTCTAGTTTAATAAAAAAGAAAATAAAAATAAAAAAATAAAAATTTAATCTTCTAATAGATTTCAATGTGCTGAATCAGAATTTAGGCACAAAATATGTTTTTTTTTAATATATCTTTGCCAAAACTTTAAGAATTATTTTTAGCGTAGTTAGCAGAGATATTTTTAAAACAACATTTTTTTGTGAAATGTTGGATTAGCACACCAAAATCTATTGGAGCAGTATTAAAGATTCAACTTTATTAGTGGATTTTTGTACCACTCTGATTTTCAGAGAAACTTATTTTCGAGTATAATTTTTGGGGATATCTGGGGACAATCTCACCTCCGTGGCACAGCCATTGTTCGCAGAATGGGTGCACGGACTGTTGCTGCCGCCGCAGGTGGTGCAGGCCACGATTTCGTTCGGGGCACCGGCGTCTCGTCGTTTCTCGCCCTGATAGACGGCGGTAAATTTAAAAAACTTATTCGTTAATTTTCATTGGGCCATGGTGGGGGTTGGCAAACAAGTTGGCAAATTTTACAAGTCAAATACAATTTGTGAAAAAGGAGTTATTTACACATACATACACACACATACGCATACGAAAAAAGAACGTAAAATTGGTTTTGGCAGTTGCAGTTTGGTTATATTTTGGTTGTTTGCAGTTCGTTTTTGCAAAAACCCAGCAAAAAGCGTATAAGTATGTTAAAAATATATGAAAAAAGGTAGAAAAAATATTTTATTTATTAAAGTTTATTTAATATGTGGCACAAAAAGTTGAATTGAAACATAATTAAAATATCACTACAAAATTGATCACAAAAGCGCTTGAAATGCTTTTAAAATTTTAACTACGGAAATAATTTAACAAAACGATTAAAATTGTTAGGTCGGCATACTTACGGGCTTTTAAATGTTATTATTATTAGTTTTTATTTATGTCAGTGGCAGCAGTTGAAAAAGCAAAAAAGATCAAATTCGATTTTAGTACATGGTAGTCTATTTATAACCATAGCGCAATTTAACTGAATTTGTTGAAGTTTTTGTCAAATTTTACTAAATTGTTTGCACGTACATTATTTTGTTCATTTGTTATTTTTGTTTAAGCTATAGCAATTTGTATAGAATTTTGTATTTCGATTGATATGAGAATGGCATGAGAATTTTGCTGTGTTTTTATTTTTAAGTAGGTTGAACTTAAGATTAGCACAAATGTGATGAGAATTTAAATTTCAAATTTAAATAAAACGCTATCAGTAATATTGAACGCTTTTAAATTTTAAAAGTTTTTGTTATAGAATGTATAATTGTGTTTTGTTGTAGGTTAAGTGTGATGTAAATGTTTTTTTTTTGGGATGACGTTCTTTGTTTTATGAAAACGAGTATATTTAATGATTGGCTATGAATACATACAAGGTTAGTTTTTGTGCATTTTATCGTGTGGGTTAAAGCGTGCTCCATATTGAATATTACTGCGCAGAGGTGATGGGGTAAAACACACAACAAAGCTAACAGATTTTAAACTGGTTCTCTATATACAGGCTTCTTACTATATAAGCACACATTGAAAAAACATCTAAGGGTGTACATGTCATATCTTACAATACAAGTTGGACGAATTGAATCTTTATATTGAGCTAAAATTAACACTTTTCGCTGCAATTTTAATTGTTTCGTCTGTAAACATTTTTAATTGCATAGCTGCACTGTTACTTTGAATGTTGTAAGCTTAATTAACATCAAAAATTTGTGAGCGGCTAATAAATTGTCCAATGGGTCGTAGGTGGCAGGCTAAGAAATTAACTGCGTCCGTTCGCAAGTATGCTACAATTTATTGCAGCTACAGTGGCACGTACTACCCAGTTGCATCTGAAAACGCCAACGAAGCAGGAGGAAAACTCAGCGCATTTTCCGGGCGACTGGTGGGTGGCATGGCTGGGTGGCAGCTGACTTGTCTTTGTTTGCCAGCAGCTGGCGGCCATTTGCCGAGTGCACAAATGCAGCCAAAGGTGGCTGGAGGGCTTGCGAAAATAGGAAAGCCGGGAAAATGGGAAAATGGGAAAACGAGAAAAGGGGCAAAGGGGCAAAAGGGGAGGAAACAGTTACTTAGGTAAGATGTATTATGCGGGTGTGTTTAAGCAGCCAGAGAGCCGGATAACGTGGCTGACCTAAATTACACACGGTTGCTGTGCCAGAACTTTGCTTTGCGTTAGTTTCTTCAAAATCAACAAGACATTTTAAATGATAGTTGCTTCAAGAGTAGTTTAAAAATATACTGGATTCGAACATGAAATATGAAACATATACATATAAACTACAATTCTGATTAATTTATTTTTAGCAATGTATTTATCTAAGGATCTTATTTAATGATTTCAGAAAATATTTCAAATATTTTAAGGATTATTATTATTTTAGATATCTTTTAAGTAGTGCCAAAGAGTTCTCAAAAAATTAGAGTTCTTATATATTTTACGTTAAGTGGTCCCTAAACTGCTTATTAAGCAATTTAATTTTATTAACACAGCACTGTGAAAAACTCTTGAAATATGTATGTCAAGCGAAGAATTATAGACCCAGTGCAATTAGCATTGGAGGAAAAACTGGAGAAGTAAAGTATCTTCCCTCGTGAATTTTCCGACGAACTTTTCGTATTTGTTTAAGACTCCCGAAGGAGAAAGTGCTGCTTTAAAATGCCAGACTCAAACTTTTCCGCTGAAAATCCTTGCGCATCCTTTCGAGAAATTTTCGGCTATTATGATGCATGTACCGACGCGTTTTATTTTCGTTTTCATTTTCATTTTCAGTTTTATTTCCATTTTCATTTTCGTTTGCGTTTTCGTTGGCGTATTCTTTCTCCGCTCGGCCGGCAGCATCCTTCGCTGCCTTCGCTTGTTTGTGTTCCATTCTCGTGTCGTTGGTTTTTCCGGTGCTCTCGGGCTCATTACGGCATTTTCCACTTTGGGGCGCTCATGAATAATTATGTTGTCCTGTTGCGGCACAGACATCCCGCTGTCCACCTGGCCGGTCGCCAATTTAAGCGCGTACCCCATTTTTAATTTACATGCTAATGGTGGAAAACATTTTCCCAGCCACCTTGTTGTTGACGCTTTTCCGTTTCTGGCCGCTGCAACCAGTATATCGTATCCCGGTGTTCTGGTTCGGGTGCTGGTTCTGATTCTGTCGGAAGTCGATGCCAACGTTTGAGAACTGGCCATAAAATAGTTTTGCCGTAGCACGGGCTTTCATCACGCCCACTTGAGTCGGTTTTATTTGCTTTATGCCGGTTGCATTCCTATCTTGATGGCGGCGCTGCTCTTCCATTCCGATAAGTTTGATTTACTCGGGCACTTTTGGGGGACGTTTAAGTGATTTATGCGCTGGAAATTGGTTGCAAATCTTAACGACTTAAAGTTAAGTGTAAGAAATTTGCGCCACCATGATATTTGCGAAAAGAAAGCACTAATGTTTTTATGTTAAATAATTTTGAAAACTATCTTTAAAGCTTGCACGCTAAATAATTGGGAGAATTTCCTCAAGTTGCTATTGATTTTATTTCATTTAACTTAAAATAAATGGATGTTTAATTTACTAAAATTTAAGGTTATTATTACAAGAGAAAATTAAAAACCCCTAGAGCTTCTATGATCTAATGACTAAATCACTTTGTCCAAGGGTAATTACTTGAGAAAACATCTTCATTGCTTGCTTGCATTTGATTTGGTTGGACAACTTTGTCTGGCTTTAAGCCCTAATGGCTAAACCTTTTGTTTTCTTTCGGCTACTAATTCCCCTCAATTCCTCATGACTAATGCAGTTACACTTGTTAGTCGTTGTAAGTCTTTCATTAAAAGTTCAATTGCAAGTTTGGGAAAAAATCCAACTTTGAGTGTGCGTGTTTGAGGGTGTTGTTTGTGTGCATTTTGTGGGTGTTTTTTTTTTTTTTTTTTTTTTTTTGGCAATGGCAAATGGCAAATGGCAATGGCAATCAAAATAACCGCAGGCAATCAAGTTTAGTGAGGGGAGCACACGGCCAGGGACGAGCTTCGATGTTCGCCTTGGGGCCAACTTTCTTCTTGCTGACGTTTTTCTTTGGCTCCGGCTTTTGTACATTGTTATGGTTAGTTAGTTGTTAGTCGGTTGTGCAAACAACAACAAGAACGAATGTTTATGTTTTTTTTTTTTTTTAGAGTGGGTTAGTCTTGGGCGTGAGTCCTCTACTCACTGTAGCTTCCGCATTTCCGAACGCATCCGTGGCACTGCATTCGCCGTAAACCGAGGCGGGTGAATTGGATCGCGAGGCCTTGCGGCGCGGTGGTTTCAACGGCAGTGGCAACTGGCGTTCGGTCATTTCCATATCCTTGGCTGGTTCCGCCTCCAGATCGGTCTCAGCCTCGATCCGGACCACCAGGGCGGGTGTGCTGGTGGCCACCGATCGACGGAGGGCCAAGGATTCCGCCTTCGCCTCCGGCTCCTCCTTCACCTCCTCCTTCAGCTCGTCCTTGAACTTGACTTTCGTGTTGCTGGCACCGGAAGTGGCTCCGCCCGGCTCCTCGTATATGTGCTCAGTGGTTGGCGGCAGTCCACTGGGATTGGGGGACACAGAAGTGGAGGGACTTCTGGCCGCCTTCCGTTTTATAGAACGTGCCCGGAGATTGTGAACCGCAGCTCCAATGATGCCGCCATGCGCCTCCTGCCAACGCATGCCACCGCCGAAGAACTCCTCCGGATCGGTGGTCCTCGGCGTTCCGGGCGTGGCCACCGAGGAGGAGGCGGCCGGGGTGCCGCTGGACATGGGCGTGGCACCGCCCATCATCGACATGGCCGGCGTGGCCGCGGCGCTTGCCTTTTCGGAGGACAAAAGCGGCATGAAATTCGCGTTCGATTATTTCCTACAGAGCAGGTTGGTTCAATGGGGATAGTTTTTTGTTTTGGATTGGTTCTGAGCTTTGGTTTCTTTATAGTGTTTGGTTTTTTTTTTTTGGTTTGGTTTGGTTTTGTTTCGAACGCGAGGAAGAGAAAGACAATTTTCGGAGAGAGACACACAGGTGGTTTTAGTCAGGATAATCGAAGGCCACACAAGTAATTGGGTTAATTGATGGGCATTATCAAGAGGGGTTACTTGGACTAAAGCAGTTGTCGTGAAGTGGTTAATTGGGTTGGCTAAATAGTTCCACAAATTAGTGGCATCTTGTTGTCTATTCGATTATTTATTTAACATCCCTAATTGACAGGGAATTTGATTTTAAATTGTTAACTTCCTCTTGCGATAGTTCAAATCGCAAAGAATTGCGCAAGTTTTTTTCGTGTCTTGTTACGGAATTCCCGCCAAAATTTATTTTTATTGTATTTTCTTTACAAAAGTCTTGTTGAAAAAAAATTATTACATTACCCTCTGTCATTTTAAGGGGGCTTAAAGTTATTCAAAAATATTTAAACTTTTTTCATATATCCCCATTTTTTAGCTCACAAGTTTGAAAAAATATTTGCACTCTATTAAGAGTTTTTATTGATACCCATTAGAGCATTCAACGAATTTTTTTGGTGTCTCGTATACAGTTTGAGTGTTTTTTATATTTATTGATAAACATACAGATGCACAAAATGCAATAAAACTATACGCCTAAACAAAAAGCTTTCAAGCAAACACAGACAACACAAAATAGCTAAAAACAAAAATGCTTCAACTGCTACAAGTTAGTATCATAAATAATAGTGGCCAACATTTCCGGCACCATATTTCGTTTTTTTTGTTTGAGTAAACCAAAGAAATATTTGTTTTATTAGTGGTAGAGGGCGTGTCATAAAATCAATAAAGAACTTAACTCCAATGTATATTTTTTCAAGGCAAAATTCATTTACTAAAATTAAAATGTAAATCAGGGGCAAATAACAAAATTGATTTATAGCTTTGCCGATAGAATTTTTTCGTATAAGTAAGAAGAGAAAGAATATTTTTCCATATTAATTGGTAATCGTTTTTTTTTCGCTTTTTGTTACAATTTGCTCTCGTAACATTTTTCCCAATTGTAAGTGACCTTAAAGTGTGTTTTATTGATATAGGTTTGTTTTTTTTTTTCATTTATTTTCATCATGAGTTTATATATGTTGTGGTTGTAGTTGTCGTTTCTGCTGTTGATTGTGTGGAAATAGTTTCTTTAAAAACAATTATGCTACGCATATCGAGTATGCATAGAACTGGCTGTCAGGTGTTTAAGTACATTACGAGTTCGTTTATGGTTTGTTAATAAACGAAAAGCATAAGTAAATTATGGAAATCATTATTATCTTAAGTATGGAGTTATATACATTGAAAGCGAGTGCGAGTCTACTAGGTAATTAATTAAATTTGAATTATATTTATTGTTATTTTCATTGGTTTTCCGTTGGGCGCGAAAATCAAATTAAACTCTGTTTTCGAGAACACAAAACACAAAAACCAAAATCGAAACAAAACTTGTTCAATGCATTTCATCAAAGCGAAATTCGCATGCCATTTTTTCTTAGGTTTACTTTTTCGCTGTTTGGACGGGAGGGGGAAAAAGGACTCGGGTGTGTTCCAGTGTGTGTTTTAGTTGGATTGTGTGTGTGTGTGTTTAGTTGGGTTTTTTGCTGCTGTTTGCTGCTAAATGGTTTTGTTAAAGTTTTCTGTTTTCTCAGGGGGCGGGGCGGGGTGGTGCATGAGTTGTGGTTGATAGCTTACCAAAGGACTTGCAAGAATTACTCCGATCCTGCTTAGTACTGCTGGAAGACGCTGCAAAAATGTACACAAAACAATGTTCATACTCAAAACACACTTTAAGTTTGGTTTGGTTGTCATTTTGTTTGGGTTTAGTTTTGGTTTTTTTTTTCTGTTGGTAATTTTGGTAATTGTTTGTTCAGTTCTCACTTAGCTGCTAATTTTGAGAGTAAATTAAATTTAGCTGGTGGTTATTCGAATAGTGGCATATCACTAAAATTGGGAACAATGTTCGATTTTTTCGGTTTCGGTTTCGCCTTTGTCTTTAGACTCGCTTTGAGAAGAGGCGTTTTGTAATTGAAAAGTAAGTAGTTTTTGATGCATGGAGCTAAAAATTGGCATTGATTTAAGTGGCTTTTGTGGCTTAAATAGTTATTGATGCTTTTTTAATCTTTTTCTTTTTTAAACATGCCACTTAAATTAATTCCCATAAAAAGGATTACAAATTCGTAAATCACATCAAACAAATATGCTTAACGTGCATTATTAAACGTTTTGTTCTTAATTCGAAAAGTGCCTACGTAAAAACAAAATGCATTCTTTGTTGGTTTTATTTTGTAAAATCAATTTTAGTTTTTGTTGTTTCATTTTCGATCGAAATTAATGAAAACATAACTAAACATACCTACCCACGGGCATGTAAAACGCTTCAATTGTTTTATTATTTTTATTCATATTATGTTTTGGTTTTGTTAAAATATTTGCAAACTAATTGGAGATGAGTAAAACGCATTGTTTTCCTTACGAACGATTGTATTATACAACATTTAGAAAATAATTGAAACATAACAGAAAACAAATGTTTAGGTTTCTATCGTAAGGAGAGGATGGGCTGTTGGCATTTCTCAAGGTAAATGCCACTTCATTGGGTTAATAAAAATGCAAACAAATAATACAACTGAGCATCGCCACAATTAATACACATACATAGACAGTATTTTGGTATTTGACAAAAATCAAAATCAAATCGGAAATGTGTGAACAAAAATCAAAGGGAGAGTTCGGTTTAAATCATTTCGTTATTCGTTGGACACACAAATTTACGTTTAGTATAGTTTTAAAAAGTTGTTATACAAAATGCTAAGTTTGGGATCAACACAAAGTGAGTTTTTATAGCGAGCATTTTGTTGTTGATAATGAAAATATGGCAATGGATCTATTAACTAAAGACCGTTAAATAAGATTGGACAGTACATTTGGGCAGGTGATCAAAAGTTGGGTATACGCAGTTAGAGAAAAGTAGAGATATAGACGGATAGAGAGAGAGAGAGACAGACAGATAGACAGATAGAAAGAGGGGACGCAACACAATGGCGATAATCGAATTGTTTTTGACTGAGTTTTCATATATATTTTTCTGTTGTATGACTTGGGCTCAGGTGTTTCTGGCTTCTTGAAAAAAGGAAGAACAAATAACTTGAATAACTTATATAGTACGATTGTTGGCTGTTGTGTTCGCTGTGTGTATTTATTTTTGTTTTTTGTTTTTATTTTTATTTTTATATCTTTTGCCTTGTTTGCTTGTTTTATATATACAGTATTTGTATATATTTTTTGTTGGCTTTGTACGCTCATGTAAAATTCATATTTAATTGCTTTCAAAATGCATACGAAATTAGCTTTTTTTTCGGGTCGGGCGGGGCTGCCTGGTGGTGTGAATCGGATTAAATGATTATTTAATTTACCTGTGTTACGGGATTCTCGCCGGGCCGATAGACGACGTTGTGCAGGGGGCGCTTACGCCCCACATAATTGACGCAGACGAACTCCAGTAGGGAGGCGTAAATGAAGCACATGCAGACGCCGTCCCACACGTTCATCGCCGTCAAATTGGAAACAACCGGCAGAGTGCTCCGGAAACCATTCGAGGTAGTGAAGAAATTCAGCATTGTTGTCACGCCTTCGCCCGGTTGTTGAAAAGTTGTTTCAAGTTGGTGATTGTGGATTGTGGATTGTAGATTGTAGAGAAACTTGCATTAGCCGTTTGACACGTAATTGGAAAAGCATTGCATACTTTGGGGCGGGGGCAAACGGGGTTTAACGGGGCGAAAGGATGTATGTATATGTATTGTTCGGTGTTCTGTGCTCGGTGGCATTAAGTTGAGTTGTTTAATTAGTTTTGGCATATGTACAAAAGTTTTCAATTTCATTTTTATCATCCGGCTCTCGGGCAGGAGTCGTTATGTCTGATTGTGTTCGATTCACTTGTTTTGTTTTATTTTGTGGTTCATAAAATGTGCATAAGCTAAAGAAATGTAAACAATACTACTAAAATTTATGATTGGCAATAAATCTAAGCATTCGATTTGTTTGTTTTTCTAAAGACTCATAGGAATCTATACAAAAAATCGATGATTCAAAAATGTTTCGTTTTAATTTCGTTGATTTATGCTATTTTAAATTTTTATTCATAAATAATAGCTTATTTTTAACGCTTTTGATTTTTGTAATCAATATTTTATTAACGTATTTTTTAACACGTTTATAAATTTTATTTATAAGCTTTAAAGCAATATGTTATAATTGAATACATTAATTTTTAATAAATCACTACGGTGGGTTAATTGGTATGAATAATATTAATATTTCATCGTGCTGCTATTACGTAGTTCTTTGCTTCATTAATAAAATTGTTTTTGGCTGAAGCGCAACTCCAAAATAAATTAATCAAGGCTAATGTTGGCATTTAATTTTAATTATTCAGCTCATGACTGCTTGATATAAAAAGCAATCGGTTCAATGCGAATGGAGCTTTTTAAATTATCAATCATGGTTGCCTAATTAGTTGCGTCAACAATTCGCCAACTGAATGAGTGCAGCGCAATTTAACTGGTTTCGCATTCTACAAGGAGTTGCTTCACAATTCGCTTCGCTGCATCCACGAACCCTATCGATTTTCAATTTGCCAACGTTTCGGTTTCCGCCCCTTAAAAAAAAATTAGAAGGAAATCTCTACGCTGCACTCAACAGCAAATGCTTCGAGGAAAAGCTCGAGAGGCATGAGGGTCACAAATGAGGCAAAAGATGCTGCCATGCTAAGAAGGAGCTGTTGTAAAATGCAGGCAATGCACCCTGGTCCCAAATATAGAACTTTAGCATCGATCCAACCAAGCCCTTATCGTGGCCTCATGTTAAGGAATTTGTTTCAAAAAAAAATATATATTTAAAAGAAACAGAATCGTCGCCAATGTACATCATGCATTTAAAAAAAACTATTTGAAAATATGTATTTAAAAAAAACTATTTGAAAATACCTCCCTCAACAAACCATTTTAATTTACAAACAAAAACAAAGGTTACCTATTTTCAAAGAAATATTATTCACAAATAATTCAAAGGAATAGTACGATTTAAGTGTGTTCAAGTCATGTTTTTGTGTATATATTTTATGTTTGTTAATCTTAAAGGGCTTATAACTTATATTGGATATCACTTGTTTTTTTATTTTGTAGTTGTCTTTGTTTAAATAAAATGATCAAAAACACAGGATTCAATGTATGCAAAGCTCTACAAAAATAATACAAATAATAAAAATAAAGGTTAAGTTGATCGCCTTTCTATTTAATAAAATGCATAACGTTTTTAAATTTAAATGATCCACAATGGTTTTTTTTCAATTATCTGGTAAATACTCTTTGGAAATAGTATATTAACTTTTTCTAAACTTTAAAAAAAGAAATGCAGTTTGGATTTGGAACCAGTGTGCAATGTCAGCACTTTGACTAACAAAACGGCATCGCTTGCCTTCAGCCATTTCAACTTTTTTTGACTATTTATTTATTTAGTTTCCTTTTGTCATTGAAATGTCGTTTGATTGTGTTTGCTCTGGGCAGACAATGACAGTCAGAAATGGAATTATCCTTTACTTTTTCGATTCTTACAATGCTATTTGAGTGCTTTGTCGTCGTTTTGTCACAAAAATATTCCAGTACATTATTACTAGCAAAATTTGTTGAGTCTTGGTAGTTCTATCAAAGAAAAGGGATCCGTAGAAATAGAAAGGTCTTAAAAATAATTTAATTCCTCAAATCATGATATAATTTACTTATCTTTAAGCATCTCTTTATACGAAGTCAAATATTGTTTTTTTTTTGTATTTTTTACAAAGTTAAATTAATGTTTTAAGATTTAGTAGAGGCGCAAAATGTTTAAGACCCTGATATATAACCAATTATACAGAGGTGGAAAATTATCAAAGGCTTAATGATTACATTAAATAAAATGATCAACAACCTTCTGTGTTCCATTTGAAAGTTATTTTACTTTTAATTTGTTCTGCAAATTAAAGTCTTGTTTAAAGTCCTCATCTGCCAGTCTTTTATCCCCGTCCAACTTTGTAGTTTTTGCTTTACACGGACAAAGAGCTTTCCGTTCTATTTGCCTAGTCCGTGTTGCCCATATGGCTTATGCATAAATCATCATGTATGATGTGGCCACCGCTCCTCGTCATCATCATCATCCTCATCACAGGCATGTGAAATGTGCCACAAGGTGGTCCCAAAACCAGGAAACATCCGTGTCCGTGTTTCTGTATCTCTTGTCCAGACGCAGCTGCCAACGATCCTGATGTTTCGGCTGACATTTCCCCTTCTTATTATTTTCATTTTGCTTTCCCTTTCTCACTCTTTCCCAGGATTATAATTGCATTAGCTCTGCTCCACTCGGCACAATCAGCGGATATAGTGATATTACTTAAAATTTAAAATCTAAAAATCATTTTTAATTCGCAAACAATTAATAATTATTAATATTTATTATTAATTAATAAAGAGATTTAAGCTTTTTCACGACTTTAAGCTTTAACAAATTCGTATTTTAAGTAAACCAAAGAAACTATTTTCACTCAAACATTTTTATTTACTGTGTTTAATAATATTTTGTAATATAAGTACTTTTACTATTTTAAAGGTGCTTGTGTGAAGTTTCGGCTAATATAGTTGTGTATATTATAGGTAAAATATAAATCATTTAAGTTTAAATTTGTAGTTGTGTTATTTTCCTTTAGGTATTTTTATAATTTATTATTTAATTTATCTCGGTTAAACTTGTAAACACCTTGGGGTGCTACAGAAATAACTTGAAAATAATTTAAATTATGCCTAAAATTATGCAATGGAAAAATTGGAAGGTAGTCCTTCGTAAGAAATTCATTGGCTTTCCGGATTAAAGTATGTTCCATATTGTATATTGCATCCTTTTAGACACATTTTAATCGATTATAAAAATCACTTGATTTCCGTAACTTATTTAATGTTTGTTTTAACATAATTATTTTATTTGTTTAATACAAGTGTTGGAATCTATTTGAATGTAAGTAGGTGTTTCAGCATGATGTACGTAGAATGCTTCAGTTGTTTTTCGTATATGGTTTCACCAAAGCTTCTCAAAGAAAAACAAGCTCAATAATTGCCTAGTTTAAGTTAAGAAGTCATGCAATGCATAAGGTCTTAAAGGAGTCGGGCGTTACCAAATACGAGTGCAGAAAGTGAGGCAAGACAAAATGAGGAAATCAACATTGAAAAAATCAGTCCAAGTAATGGATCGAAATGAAAAAGGAATCCATTTAAATCGAGCGGCTGGCTAAACTTGAGTTTGTAATGAGTTAAATGGTCCTAAGCTTCTCTAGACTAAAAAACTTCTAAATTATTTATGCTTGGCCAATTGTCTCGTGGTTGCGTTTAAATTTGGACTAAAACTTACTGGACCGCTACAGTTCGTTAACGACTAAATTGTGATTTGGATTGTTTTTTCATTGATTTGGAAGACTTCGATTTTTGTTTAGTTGTCTGTTGCTTCATTAAGAATTTGGAGCTTTTGGTTTTGGTTTTGATTTTGCTACGTACCGATCATAACCCGGGCTGGGACTGCATTCCATTCCAGCCAAAATGTGATAAACGACGAGGTGACCAATATAATGCCAGGTATGAAAACGGTTGTAAAATAATACGCACGATCACGGGTAAATGTCAACTCGACCTGTAGGCAACTGTAATTACCTTAAGAAACAAGGCCGGAATTATGCAAATTCGGCCAGAGGTTAACACACGCACACACACAGAGACAGACAGTTAAAGATAAAGATAGATAGATAGTTTTGCCTATTTGGTAGGAAGACTCGGGCCTAGACTAGCCTATATTATATCCCGATTTTTGGCTTCTTTTGGGCTAAACTATACTCTGATTGGAGAAGGGAACAAAATGTTAACTTGAATAACTAAAATCGTGGCTCGTTAATTTGGGCTTTGCTTTCCAGAACTTTTTGTGGGGCATGCAGCATACTTTGTGGGCATACTTTGGGGTGGGCACTGTAACTTATTATTCTTTGCTACTACTTTGGCCGCATTGAAATGAAATGGAAAAGTGACAATTATAAATTATAAAATTTTACAAATTACATTACAGAAGGGCAATCGAAAAAGGCAAATGCTACGAAAGGCGGAAAGTAAGTCAATTCTCAATGGCGTACAAAATTGATTTTTGGTTCGGTTATTTTCTTAAAAGTACGTATTTTTATTAAGAGTATTTTTTTTTTTTTTGGTTTGGTTTGGTTTAGTGTGAAAGAGAGGTCAAAAATTGGTAGTATTGGTTTTGATTGGATTGGTTGGTTGGTTGGTAATTTGGTATTGTTACCTATCATCGATCTAGCTGGCACGGCATTCCATTCCAGCCAGAAAGTTATAAAGGACGACGTCACCAATATAATGCCGGGTATAAAAACGGTGGTGAAATAGAATGCACGATCTCTGGTAAAGATTAAATCGACCCTAAGACAGCTGTAGTTCCCTAGGGGCATTATTTGTTTTGTTTGGTTTTGTTTTGGTTTTGGATATTTTTTGTTGGTTGTTTTGTAGCGTTTATATATAAGAGAGGAGCAGTGGGAAGGTAGACAAAGAGTAGACCATTAGATAGGCATTGGATTTATATTTGTAAATTCTTTGCTAAAATGTAAAAGCTGTAAAAGCAAGTCTAGCCGAGATCTGAGACTACGAACTTAAATCAAGACAAAATAACTTTAAAAGCCAAGCCAAAGAATGGAGTACTAAACTGAGGAGGTCCGTTTGTAATAAACCTAAAATAATACGCCATATTTTGTATAAAGAAAATACCATTTTACCAGAAATCACTACAGTTACTAAGTAGCAAAGTTTCCCAGTTGCAATTTCTTTGGCTAATACAAAGTATAAGCAAATGAAGTGATGGGCAATCGATTCGAGTCGAGATCCCAACGACTTACCTCTCCAGCTATTCTGATCGCAGGCCGTTGTTTGATTTTTGATCAAGTACGCATTTAGTGTGGTCAGCGAAGGACTTTTCCGCAGAGTGTCCTCATCGTTTTTCCAGACGTATTTGATTTGGGCCTCCTCGTAGGAAACTGCAGAGAAGAATTCGTATTACATAAAAACTCGTTGGCCCAATTGGATTACATTCCCAATCCCTTCGTCCCCATCATCATCTCATTAATTAATTAGATTAATGTAAATGGGCAACAAATACGCAAATACATATTGTCTGAGCCATTTGTCTGAGCTCGGGCCCAGACCCAGTCCCAGCAAATTAAATCATATTTGACAAACAAGCCATGACAAGCAGGCAAAAGAGCACAACACTTCGATGGATGTTTCCCCCCCATAGATGAAAATCTCGGCAGGAAGCGACATCATCATCCTCTCAAAGTAATTTACGATGTTGCTCACGTTCTTAGCCAATGTTTCCAAGAGGGTTGGGCCGGGCTCGTCTGAGAACCGGAAACAACTTTCGAAAACAATGTAAAGACAAAAAGCCCAGAACAAGGCTGACTGTGTCTGTCTGTCTGTGTGGCAGGCAGGCAGGCAGTCAGCCTTGTTAGTCACTTTGTCAGCTTTTGTCGTTAAGGCTCTGTCCCTCCTCTCTGCCGGTGCCACGCCCCTTTAGGCCACATTGCCTCCTACATTGTTGCATAAACACACACAGGCGAATGCAAATGGAGGCAAAGATTTCCCCTGAGTGGCAGTCAACACGCTCGCCTGCCCATCTTTTTATCATCAGAACATCAACATCTTGAGGTTTCTTTCAACACTTTGGAATTATCAAATTATTTATACATTAATCCCACTTGCAGGCTCTTCAATTGTATTGTTTAAGAAATAATTTGCACTCAACATTTGTTTCTGACATTTTTATGTTGGCTTTTTGAATATTTCAACGAAGAATGCGAGTTATAAATACCTAACTATCTTCTTGAGCTCTTTTTTTAACAGACTCGACAATAAAAATACCCAAAGTATGAATATTAATTTGATATAATTGATCCTGAACAGGAATCAAATAAAGATAAAAATAACTTACTGTGATAAACAACTGTGATTGGTGGATAAAAACATTTCAAATCTTAAAACATTTAAGATAAAATAAAATCTCTACTGCATATTATAAAATAAAATTTAAATTAAATTTAAAAGTTTCATTCCAACAATTATAGACAGTTAATTATTTTATCTTTATTTGATCTTTGATATTTGATAAAAATGATATTTGATAATAATAAGTGATGAAAATATATTTTAACTTACTGCTCTCCATGGAGAAGGAACACTTTGGATCATCGAAAGGAAATATATGAAGACTTCCCTGGCAGGATAAGATCAGGTGACGTCTAGAAGGAGAATGCCATAAGCAATAATAAATTAATCTTTAAATTATTATTACAACGGGTTAAGAGATTATCTTTTTTTAATACATACTAAATAATAAATTTCCTAAAAGTGTCTGCTTTTCTATTAAATATAAAAAGAGTTATTTTATTGATAACTAAAGTCTTAAGACATAAACAATTGCTTTCATGTCCTCGACTTTCTTGTACCTGCAGACTACAATGAAAACTACACAAATATATTTACACATAACTCAGTTTTAATCTCAGCTTTTAACGTTTTGAGATATGATTCAACCGACAAAAATTTGTTGACCTTATAATTCTTCGAATTTCATCCTCAAGCGATTTCATGCTTGTCTCTGCCACTTAATATCTCGCTTTGTTCAGCAGCATCAATTCATAATTTTCCATCCCCGTGTCCCTGTCGCTTTTCCAGCAAGTTTTTCCGACGTTTCTCCCTGTCGGCTATGCAAACAGCAAAAGGGAAATGCTGGACCAGAAAAAGCTGGGAAAGTAAATGGCAACTGCAACTTATTTTAATTGCTGGACGACACTTTTGCGCTTTGCAGTCAATTGGAAAAGTTCTGTTGAATTAAAAATGTAGACAAGTTGGAAAAAAGGGGGAAAAGAAGACAAACATGGGCGTCCAACAAATGGTGGCCATATTGTGAAAAGTTCCTCGCCTTTTTTTTTCCCCAGCAACTAACATACGAACCTGAATTTTATGCTGGCCAGGAGTTGGGATATGTGTACTTTGTACCTGGCCAAATATTTACATACATACCTACTCTTTTACATTTTACTCATATTTCTCTATTTCTCCGTTTCTCTGCGCTGCCTTCTCTATTTCTTGTGCTGTTTTTCATTACGGCCTCAGCTTACATATTTCGTGGGCCCTTACCTCAAATTTTCCACTAGCCAGCGCGAAATAAAAATTGTGAAAAATTGTGGAAAATTGAGCAAAAGAAGCAGCGGAAAAATGCAGAGAGAATAAAAAAATATTGCCGCCCTGCCTGTCATCTTGCTCTCCCTAATGAATATGAACTTTGAGCAAAAATTTGCATTTTCTGGCGCCATTAAAGCCGCTTAGCCCGGCCTCGTCTCGGATTTTGTATAAAAAAATCATTCATATTCAAATCGGGCTGCTGAACCGACACACACCTCATTGCGTACGTAATGGTCCCGTTCCGATATATTCTTAAAGCGAAATGCATTGGTATGATGGGATCCTTGAAATCGCCATGCATAATGAAATACGTATCCGGCGTCCAGATGCTGTCATGATGATGCAGAGCATTTAAAAAGTCATAATGCGACTTATTGCCATACTGCAGTCGCGGATCGTTCCACTGCTGGTTCAGCAGAAATTCCACCTCGTATTTCTGCAAAGCAACCACTTTTGTAAAAAAAATAATACTACTTTCAATTATCCATGCACTTACCAAACTACTTTCATCGGGCGATGCTAAGCTCAGGAGCAGAACATTCACGTTCACTGTCAGAGTGCCTATTAAAAGAGGATTTAAACAAACACAATAGTGGTCTACTTAAAATATATATAATTGAGTTGCCATAAAATTGAGTTGCCATAAAAGTGCCAGTGAAAAGAGCAAATAAAGAAAAGAAAAATAAAGTAAGTTACCCCAATTAAAATTAAAACAAAAACTAAAGTTTCAAACAAAACTACTATCATTGCGCAAAAAAGTTATCTTGCCTAAAATTAACACACCTACATTTAAGGAGAAACTTAAACTGTTTTAAATTTTTCTGTTTCATTTTTTCTCTCAAAGAAAGCCATAAGTTATGGATCTTAAAAACAGTTTAAGTAAGTTTGACAGACCTATACAAGTTTATTGAGGCTAGAAAATAAAAAAAAAATCGTAAGAAAGTTATCTCTATTGAAATGAGAACAAACATAAAAGTCAGAAATAAAGTGCATCCATAAAACGAAAGTCCGTAAGAAGACACCAACCGCGATTGTGTGGCCTCCGTGCATTTTGATTAGTTGCCATATCGGGCGATTGCAAGCCACAGCAAAAGTCTTCATCTGCAAGAATTTAAGGATAGTAGTCTGAAAATTTTCGGGTAGATAAATTTTACTTTAAACTAGCTAAAACTCTGTTTCTCTGTCTTATTTTTTTGTTTTTTTTTTGGTGACATCTCAAAGAATCAAAGTATAAATGTAATATAATTATTTCCCAAAGCACAAACATATCGACAGAAATGTAATTGCATTGTGTGGATGGTCATCCCGAAGATAGTGCCACCCAGCGCATCTAGGACAGTAGAGCCATTAACTTTAATTGATTTTATAGTGTCCATACGTCGTGGCCTGGCTCCTCCGATTGTTGCCTGCTGGTTGTCATTTGGCAACCAAGACTGAACAGCGACTTTTAGTGGCCCAAAACTAAGTATTGTTCACCCACACACTCTCCACTTAGTAAAATTGGAATTTTAATCGAAACAATGTGGAAATGGTGAATAAGTTCTGCAACTTCTTACCATTTACAGGCGGCAGTAATCGTTTATCGTAGCGCTTCTTTTCAAGCAGTAAATCTAATATCTCCTTATCCGAACTGGACTCGTCGAATCTGTGGGGAACAGGTTAAAATTAGTTAACCAATTTTAAGACACAATTTTTGTTAGTAATTGTCAAAAGATAAACTTAGTTATTTTCCCAAGGAATCTTTTATGTACAACAGTTTTGTGTGCTGTTTTAAATTGATGGGAAGATTGTTATTTTGAGGAGTAATAAGTCGAACAAGAAATCCAATTAACCGATAATATAATTTAACTAATAATTAGGCAGTAAAAAATGTAATTCCCTAGGTTAAAAGCAGAGTTAATTTATTTTTAGATAATATGAATTTCATTGCGATAAATTGCTAGATTTCTGAGCCTGAAAAATCATTTATTTTGAGCAAATTATAAACTGGTTTTCAAATTGCATGCATAACATCAGCAGAACGAAGCTGAGAAAAAACCAATCACCTCAACGGGAATTCAAATAAACTCAAAATATATTGTGAGTGCCTTAACGAAACATCATAATTTGGGTAAAAGACGAAACTAAAATCTCTAGTTTGCTCTTTTTTTCCATAAATTCTCTGTTTTCGTTTGCTTTTTAGAGAGGAAAGGAGGTGTGCATTAACTTACTTCGACCAATCGATGCCATGACTGAAAGAATTTCAAAAAGGAAAAAATAAATAGAACAATTTTTGTACGTGTTGTGGAAAGGATTACCAGGCGGTACAGATTGATAGAGATATTGAGATACAGGTAGATACTTAGGAAAATAGAGGGAAAGAGTGTGTGCTCAGGGGTAACAAAATCAAATGGTGTTGTTCGGGAATGCCTTTGGATGTTTTCATGAGCGCAACTAATTCGCCTTGATTTAACTTCATATTATCAATACTAAAAAACATTGCAAATTGTTTATGATAAAATTTTCCGTTGGAAATACTTTCCAAATGTTAAAAACAATTTAATTTTCTTGTATTTTTTGATGGAAATATATTATTTCTGGGTATAATTTAAACTTCTTCATCTATTTTGTCTGTCAATTTTTAAAATAAAATATACGTTTTTTTGAAAAAGTAACTTTCTGTCTAAAAAACTTTGTATTTTTTTTTGTAGGGTTCCATTTTTTAATAATTAAATAAAATCAGGGACCGTAATCATTTTAAGTTATATAATAAAAATCACAATTTAATGATTAATATTTGAGTGTTATTTCGTCTTTTTCGCTTTATAATCTGAGAGAACCACCTCTTCCAAAATTGCTGCAAAAAAAACTTATCCGATTTTGACGCAAATTTTGAGGGATAAATAACAATATTAATTTTTTGAGCGATTAAATTACTTAAAAAATTATCAATAAACTGTGACTTATTTTTTAATCAAATTAATAATTGTCCCTGTAAAAAGTAAGTAAGAACCCTGTTCAATTTATGAAAAGAAAACTCTACTTCTGCTTTCTTTTTCAGATTCAATTTTCGCTTTTCTTAAATGTGAAATATATTTAGGGGAACAGAAGAAGCTTTTCAGCGTTAAATTCTCATTCTGTAGAAATGGAAAGGACGAAAAATCCAGGCGAATTTGCGCAGGTGAGCGACAGAGACAGACGGACGGCACTCACATGGGATGCTTGTCGAGGACACCCGTCTCCGACTGCGTGGTTGCTGCCGTGGACGCGGTGGTCAGGTAGCAGAGCATCAGGATGACGCTGGAGGCGGCATAGAAGCTGATCGACTGGCTGTAGTGCTTGTAGTGCTGGCCGAGATACTGGAAGGCGGCCGCCGAGGTGGCCGCTGCCGTGGCGCCGACATTGGCGACAATGGGCAGCGGGCCCTCGGCGTAGGCATGTCCTTGCCACTGGCGGTAGGCTAGTGGCTGGCGATCTTGGGGCGCACTCTCGTCCTGCCACTGCAGCGTTTTCGCTAGGGCGGCGAGGGCATGGAAATGCAGGGAGAGCGCTGAGATGCCAGCATTTGTGGCTGGCGACTGGGACGTTGCCACATGGCGCCTCCGCCGGCGGACATGGACATGGTGCTGCCGACGCTGGTCGTCCTCATCCCGCTCGGCGACTGGCTGTGGCCTCCGTGCGGCCGCAATATCGATTCCGATCCGGGCAGTCGTATCGGCAATGGATCCCTGCGTCGCCAACGCGTCCTCGCCGTTATCCTTGTGCGCCCCAGCCACTTGACTACCGGGCTGGCTCTTCTCCTGACGTGCCTGTCGTATCGTTAAAAGCACTTGAGCCGTCGCTTTTAGATGTTTGGGCCCACTTGCTGCCTCTGTTTCGGCCTCTGATTGTGCTTGGGCTTCTGTTGGCGTTGGCGTTTGCGTTTGCGTTTGGGTTTGCGTTTGCGTTTGTGTTTCGGTTTCGGTTGGCGTTTGCGTTTTATGGTTTTGTTGATAGTTATCCTTGATTTTGATGTCCTCAGCTGGCTTCTCGTTTGCTCTGGCAGCGTTCTTGCCCCTGGTCCCCGGCACTGCTGCTGCTCTGCCACGGCATTGGTTGCGCCTCAGTTGCTTGCGTCTCGGTTTGTGGGGCTGCTCTTTGGCCGCTTCAAAGACGCAGCCCATGTTATGACAACTGCAAAGAGATGTGTTTAACGAAAAGTGTTTTAGTTTATGTGACACACCGCTTGAGTAGTATATGGCGCAATTACTGTTGATAATATAACCGATTTAACCGATCAAAATATTATGGTAAGGGGCTATCATACTTGTTCTAATAAATATTCAAATAAAACATTAAGTTTAAAGAAACTTTTAAATTCTTATATTTCAAATTCATATTTTTTACACGTTTTTTTTTTTGAAAATTTTATCAGCCAGTTTTATAGCCTACATACATTTTGTTTTCCTACAACTATTATACAATTGTCATAAGTTTGTATTGAATTGAGTTGTCAATTAAAAAAGTGAATTTACAGTTGAAAATGTTTACCAAAAACGAAAACTACAGACAGTATATTATACTTTTTGGTTTACTTTCTATACCGATGAGTTTACAACTGTAGTCTAAGGCCTTTTTTAACCATATAAGTTATCTTTTGGTCCTTTCATGGTCTTAATGATTCTGATCGCGAAATTTTGTATACCCAATGGTTTGAAATTCATGTACCAATAGTTTAGAGTCTAAGAAACTTGTTGTTATTAAACAACATACGTTTTTTTATACTTGACTTGATTTTCAATACCCAGAAGTTTTAAACTCATGTAACAATAATTTAGAGTATAGGAAAGTTTTTTTGTTTTGGGTAAATATTTAACTCATTAAGTTAAAAAATCGTACAACAATTGAAAAGAAAACCTTTTCTTAAAAGAAAGTCTAAGTTCCGTGTGCTCAAATCGTTTATTTTTTAGTCACCAGTAAACTATTAGACTGCTTTTCGATTTCACTGCGCCCCCAAAAAAACTAATTAACCTCGGTGAAAGCAATTTGCGAGGCACAATCTGAAATAAAAATCTATCGTCACCCACTTGACTGTCGCTCCAGTGACTTGCCTGCATCAACATCAACACTCGCCTGTAACAGTACATGCAGGATTTGATTGATGTGGCAATATTGGATTGTTTCGGCCCAGCGGCCACGCCCACCTGCGTGCACACCTAACCGTAAATGTCAGTTGCCAAATAACACGGTTCCTGAAACAGATTTACGGCTGCCACAGAAAAACTTTAATTTTCCAGGAAATTACAAGCATAAGCTGTAACTTTTTATTCTATAATATAGTTGTCTTGTGAATTATAGGGACAAGTGTCTAAGGTTGAGTTGACGATGTTTAAACGATGTTTTAATTTAAAAAAATATAATATATTAAATTCTTTTCATTTCCGCTTTAAAAAAAACTAATATTCTATTTCATTAGGGGATTAAGTGAAGCAATTTTTGGTCTTTAATATTTTTGACAATGTCTAAACGTGTATTATGTTTGTTAAAAAAGAATTGTACAAAAACTCTTTTAATACAAAAAAAAATGTTAAAAAATTAAATCTATTAAATTCCCTTCATTTCCGCTCTAAAAGTATACTAATATACTATTTCATTAGGTGATTTAGTGTCTCAAATTCTTGGCTTCCTTTTTGTGAAGTATGAATACGTTTTTCCTAAAATAGTTTTATCAAGCCAAAGACCTCGAGCCGATTTAGAACAGAACTTTCATAGAATGTTTTGCCTAAAAAGGATATCACATCAATTTGCAAAACACGGCTTAGAGCAGACCCGAAAAACCGAATGTCAGTCAGCCAGTCAATGGGCCAAACGAATTTTTATTGTTGCCTGTCAAAGGCTGTCTTTTGCCTGTCTTCCGTTGGCTGCTGTTGCGGCCATTTTAGTTGTTGCTGTTGCGGTTGTCAGTTTGTGGCCAAGACTGGGAGGAATGCAATTTTCGTTTCGGCCAACGTATATGTAGCTTTCAAGTAGGTACAAGTTCGGCTATATTCTGACATTTATTTAACATGCAAAGACTCCAACGGCCATTGCACCAACTGAAATGAATTCAAACCGCAAAAATTCAATTTCCGTTTTTGCTCTAGATAAAACTGCAGAATAAATAGATATCCCTTGAGAAAGAGTGATTTGGGTGTGATTAGTTATGTATGGGTTGAATGCGTGTTTGAACATATGTATTTATCGGTACGTACAATATAATCCGCTTATACAGAAATAAGTTAAAGAAAATTCGCATAAGCTGCTTAGGGAAAAATTTATTTAAATACATTTAAGAAAAGTTTACAGATTAAGAATCCAGAAAACATCAGAACAAAGCCGCAATCAATTTAAACTTGATTGGCCGAACAGCTTATTCCCAACCATATGGAAAAGCCAGTGAAAAACTCTGACATGAGTGTGTCTTTCCTCTATCCTTTTTCCCCTTTAAGCTGCAAACCAAAGGAAAACCGCACAAAACACAAACAATTCCACTAAAGCGGGCACTCAGTGGCTTTGGGGTATCCTCCACCATATTCAGGGTCTTCATTATACATTTATTCGATTTTTACGTGACTTTGGCCATAAAGCACAAAAATAAACCCCAAGACAGCAGATAGCAAAAGTAATAGGCACAGAAACTAGGGAAGGCCAAGTGGAGGGCTTGTAAATGGGTCTCATATACAAATTGGTGCCGATATAGCTTATACGTGTTTTCCTTGGCCCCATCTCTGTGCCGCCCACATGTGCCATGACAATTATTGACCTCCATCTATTTTAAACGCTTGTTCGACTTTCTTTCTGTTCCGGCTGGTGTACCAAAAATTTCCAAAAACTTTAACTCAATGGGAACTTTTTTAGCGAGCCAGAGAGCTCAGAAAAAAGGGTAGAAAATACAGAGATAACTGACCATAGATCAGTTCATACCGGGCTTCCTTTGAGTCCTTCCTGACCTTCCCCGCCCATATCCTTCATGCCTTCCGGGGCATAAATTTAAACAAACCGCGCTCGAGAGTCCGACGGCTGCAGCTGGCCAAAGTTAATCCTGCCATCGTCTGGCGGCCGGAAACGGCGCCAACTGACAGCCCAAGCCAACAACTAACCAGAAACACAACCAATCTCCCTTCCCAAAACCCCCCTTTTTTTTTGTTATTTCTTTTGGTTTAGTCTAGTTCGTTGTGCATTTCATTTTGCGCTACCAACTTTTTCATATTTTTACTGGAACAACTTTTCAGATTCCGTATCTGTGTATCTTCGTTTTATTTATTTTTTTTGTTGGGGCGACTTGTTCAGTCAATTTAATAATTTGCTGCTAGTTTTTTGCCTCCCTTTAAATTAGTTGACACTGTGGGTGGATTTGCAACCAACATTATTTGCATACTTTTGGGCGGGCGCTACTGTTGCGGTCGTGGCCACATGTCGGATACTTAATATCCCTCGGACCGACAAACATTTCGAGCACGTTCTGTGCTGGATCAGCTTTAATGTTCTAATTTGCAAGCTCACCGAAATCAAGCGGCAATCCAATTAGATGTTAGCCCAACACATTTAATGCTGGGACAGAGTTAATTGAAAATTCCATTAAATTGAATGGGATAGCAACTATTTTGCAGGATGAGTAATTGCAATTCACAGCTGCTGGTGAATAGTAAAGAGCTGACTGAAATATTTGACACCAAAGCATCCTAAATACGGAGAATAAGGTACATGTTAAATATCTCAATTTAAAGAAATATATAAGCAAATACTTTTTGACTGATTTAATATCTATTTATAAGTAGCACTCTTTATTTTATGGATATAACAACAACCTAAATTTTCAAAGAGGTTATTTGTTGCTATGCTTTCATGATTACTTATACTTCTAAAATTTAGCTTGCCAATTTTAAAGCTGACCTTCAGTTCAATCTACTGACTTCGATGCAATTTTGAAGAAACCTTTCAAAGAACACATTTAAAATTGCCGTTAAACGGACAAGTCTCGGTCACAGACCAACGAGTAACCTCAGTAAACAAAATGGCAATAAAAAACTGTAGCCACAACGACAATAACAATAGCAACAAGCAACAATTACAAACAACTTGCTATCGATTTTTCGGGCGTCAGTGTTTGCCATGGCGCCATTGTTCGAAGTCACGAACTTTCCAGTGACAGAAAAGACAAGAGCAAAAATAAAGTTGATTAAACCCATTGAAATTTTCCTGGCTTTTAACGTATCCCACTATATAGTATTACCACGTATATATAAAGATTGTGGGCGGCCAAACAAGAAGAACGGATAAATGGGGTGCATTGTTGTGTTGAAGGCAGCTCTACAAATTATAAATGTGGACAACTCAACATATTGTAAATTAATCCATTGTTCTGAAAGAGTTGTACGTACACAATGAGAAAGCAATTTCTGAAGTGTTTTAAAATATACCCACAAAGAAGAATAATGTACTAATTTGTAACGTTTCTTGGTAATAAGTAGCCTGGCTTAAATAAGTTAACTCATTTACATCGTCGTCCGGCACTTCAATCAAATCTATGTAAAATGAAATCCATATATGATGAGCTTTGTGACCCGCAGGCCATAATGGACCATAATCTGTTGCATTAAAAGTTATTAAAATGTCATGGCATAGACCAAAAATTTATGGCCAGGCAAATGTGGTAATTGAAGAAGGGCACTTGACCCAGATTTGCTGGCAGATTGCAATGGGAAATTGGCAGTGCGGCCACTAAGAGCAATCTGCATGCAGCCCATGCCTAATTAAATAACTCGGTGGGGCCAGTGCTGCGATGGACTGCAGGAATTCAGGTGGTGTTTTGAAGTGGAATGGCACGGCGCTGTAGATCGAGTGGAGTCGAGTGCAGTTCATTCGCATTTCAATTAAAACGGAAGTGCAGACATGGACACAAACAGGCGGCGGGCACTCAACAATTGGCATACCATTCAGAGGGACGCTAAGCCGTTTAGGCTTAAGTCAGCTTATTGCTGGGAAAAGTGGAGCACGCGAAGACATAGTTGTCACACGACGACGACCTGTTGGAGACCGAGAATTTTCCAATAATCGAACGTACGCGTTTAATTAATGCCAGCCAAGTGTAATTGAATAAAAGTTTTCCTGTTTCCTGGAGTTTTTAATTCGAATGCTTTGTTTAATCTAGATTT